TGAACGTACCAGTCCATGTGGTCTTCCTAGACTTTGAGAAGGCATTTGACACTGTTCACCATGACCTTCTCCTACATAAAATAAGCCAGGCAGGCATAGGTGAGCCACTTCTGTCATGGTTAAAGGACTACCTAGCTGACAGGCAATTTTGCACTAAGGTTAACCGAGTCCGATTATCTTGGCACAGATCGTCATCAGGAGTGTCGCAGGGTTCTATCCTAGGACCAGTGATGTTTTTGATTTTTATCAATGATCTACCATGCCGTCTAAGCTGCCCGACTCTCCTATACGCTGACGACGTAAAAATATGGAGGGCGATAAAGTGTCTGGAGGACTCCGGTAGGCTACAGGGAGATCTAAACCTTCTGGAAGACTGGTAGGTGGCCAGTGGCGTGAATTTCAACCTGAAAAAGTGCAAAGCAGTGAAGTTGTGCACCTGTAGACTACAGAATGCAAATTACACCCTGTGCAATGAAAGCTTGTCCTGCACAACGTCTGAACGCGACTTAGGTCTAGTTCTAAAGGAAAAAATGGACACAAGCGTAAATTACACGGGGATGTAGCGAGGGCATATGCGGTCATACACTTTACGCATAGACAGGTGCACTCCTGAACTCTTTCTAAGGTTGTACCAAACATACGTCAGGCCACACCTTGAGGTGAATAATATTACTGCACCCCAATGCTGAGAAGAGACGCCAACCTCTTGGAAAGAGTCCAACGACGGGCAACAAAAGGAGTGGTTGGTTTCCGAAACAAACCATATGATGAAAGGCTGAAGAAGTTAGGCCTGTTCACACTTACTTACCGTCGGCTTAGGGGGGATTTGATTACTGCCTACAAAATAACAAATGACCAGAATCACCCAAACAAAGGTGTTCTGCCATTGAGTAGGTATAGGCTTCCACGTGGAAATCCCGGAAGGATAGCTCACCAGAGGGCAAGGACCCGGGTGCGCTCCCACTTCTTTTCACTGCGGGTCTGCCGTCCCCGGAATCCCTTACCGGCAGATGTAGCATGTCACCGTCTTTGGACTCCTTTAAGCGAAGGCTGGACAACCATGCAGCGACACAAGAACTGCATCCAAATGGCCTATCTCCTTAAAATCACATACACCATTCAGGGGTAGACAATTAAACTCGTCGTTTTACCTCTTTACATTCTCTCCCGTCTTACTCTCTTGACAATTTTAGCTGCACTTATTATTATTACCGATATATATATATATATATATATATATATATAATTCTTCAAATTGAATCAGCTGACTGTTGTCACGCTTTCCTATTTACTTTTCTGTCCGTTAGTCTGAATAACTTCAGCAATTATATCTATTATTATTATCTCTTTCCTCTTGTCGACAATACCGAAGGACTAACTGGCGAAAGGATCAACTCCATTCACAGTAGTAACGGTCTTAACACACCTCATACTACAAACCACATATAATTAATTCCAGCATTGCTCCCGTTGGAGTCAACCAAAGCTACGACAGTCAAGTGGCGGGACAAGCTACGCAGAAGTTTACCGAAGATCAGGAACCTATACCTTACAATCAATAAGTGAGCACAAAGAAATCAAATTGGTTTATACTAGCTCGTAAAAACGATATTGGATATTGCATAAGCTGGCTAATGATCGTGAACGAACGTGACACGACGGAGTACCAAATGGCAAGGATAACATAACATAACATAACATAACATAACATAAGCTTTATTCCAAATCAGTACTTGTGATACAGAATGGAATTCTCAGCATTTTACTACAATATTGCATCCAGTTTTTTACATTAACAATAAATAAAGTTCTACATAGATTAAAGTTATCTCAACAACATATTAGTATGTCGGTAGCAAAGCCAAAATTAAAGTGTTTGAAGGTGTTAGAAAAGTAGATACTACTAGCATATTTACTGGCGTAAGCGATAGCAAAATGGTCGAGATATACAGAGTGTGAAAGAACGAACAAGAATGTTTTAAGTAGAGTTTGCAAGGAAGAGAGAAACAAAACAGCACATAACAAAAATAAATACAGAATGAAGAGCGAGAAAACGTTGTACCTATAAATGATGTGAGTTGGAAAGACGAGATCCATTGGTTCTACTGACTATTTAATAAGTTAAAGGTTTCATGCCTGATGCATTCTTTATCGCACAGAACACGGGCTAGGTAGGGTATGGATGAGTTTTTGTACTTACTAGTGCGGGCATATAGTTTCCTATATAGGCTTCTTGTTTTCCCTGAAGAGATACATGGGGAGAGTTGTGAATGTAGAGGGTGTTGTGAGTCAGATAAAATGGATTTCGCCCATTTTTCACATGAGTCCATATGCCTGTCCACCAGAATATTAACAAGCTGGCTAAGTGGCAAGCTGCTTACCCTGCTGACAACCTTTAACATCCTACGTAATAAGGTATAGTCTTTCTTCAATAGCCCAGGAAAGACTAAGGGGGAGCAATAGAGAATAATAGGCAGAATACGGGAGTTAACAAATTGTAGGAGTAAGGGTTGGGTTACACCAGAATGTCTTAACTTCTTGATGTAGAAGGTAAGACGGTATATTTTCTTGGAAATCGTCAAGATATGAGACGACCAGGAAAGATCAGAAGATAGAGTGACGCCTAGGTATTTAATTTCCGACTTGGTTTCTATTTCACTGCCATCTATGTTGCACACCTCGTGAGTGCTAACCAGTTTGTTTAGGTCAGATTTATGCCTAAGGGTGAAATTAACTGTTTGGCATTTGGAGGGGTTTAAGGTTAGACCGTTTTCCTTGGACCATTGGCTAATTTCCGATAAGAAGCCATTTAGTTTAGAGCAGTCACTTTGACATTTGACAGGTAAAGATACAGTTAGGTCATCAGCATATTTGACAAAGTTAATGTCATTTGAAGACGGTAGGTCATGTAGGAAGAAAGAAAAGAGAAGTGGGGAGAGTACAGCACCTTGGGGGACACCAGCTTCTGTGAGCACAGCAGAGGAGGATTGGCCTTTGTATACGGTGTACTGCATTCTGTTTGAAAAGTAGGAATGCAACCAGTTAGTGACCCAGGACTCGGTTTGTGTCATGGAGAGCTTATTTAGCAAGAGACTTCTAGGTACAGAGTCGAAAGCAGAAGTAAAGTCAAGAAACGTGCAGCGGACATATTTGGCACCTTTGTCTAATGATGAGATAATACTGTTGTGTAAGACGGCTGCAGCGTCTAAAGTACTCCTACCCTGTCTGTAGGCAAATTGTTTGGGGTCTTCGAAGCTTTTAAGGGAGGGTTCGAGTTTAAGAAGTACTAGTTTTTCCATGAGCTTTAGAAACGGGGAAGTGATGGCGATGGGTCTGAACTTTACGTTCTTGCTATTTCCAGGTTTAGGGACAGGGACTATTTTAATGTCTTTCCATGGAACAGGTACAACGTTTTCGGAGAAAGAAGCATTTAGGATATTAGTTAGAGGAAAACATAAAGCATCTGCACATTGTTTTAGAACATATGCAGGTATGCTATCAGGGCCAAGACTATGTGAGGGCTTAAGAGTTTTAAGACATTTCAAAACATCGAGAGTATTGAAGTCCTGGAAGTTATCAGCTACAAGATTGGTAACGTTAGAAGTGGTTATAGTAGAAGGAGAGCGTAAAAAGACAGATTAAGAGCATTAACATCACAAGAGGGAAAAACATTACATCGCTTACTTTTGCCAGTAATTTCATTGAAAAGTTTCCACATGCTGTTAGGAGATTTGCATGATAAAAGTGTTTGGTTATAGATAGCATTAAGATTTTTGATTTCAGATTTGATTTGAGCATTAATCTTTTTAAGTCCTAACTTGTCTTTGCATTTATATAACATTTCTTTTTGCCTGCGAAGTTGTTTGAGACGGGGAGACGAGAAGCGGTCGAGGCGTTTGAACAGTGTTTGTTTGGGACAGCATATGTCGAGGCAGAACTTAAGATAATCCATTATATTGGTGATTGAGTCATCTAATGTACTTTCATAGAATAGATCCCAGTTGGTATCTTTTAACATGCATCTTAGATTGAGTAAGTTGTCAGATGTGTAGCATCTTTCTTGTGCTTCGTAGACAGGTGTGAGAAGATTTTAATATGTGTTTTGCTGTATATTTTTGGCAAAACGCGGACAATGCAGTGATCGGAGTTATGTATCGGTGAACGTCTACGTGTTTCATATACTCCTTCGTCATTAGTAAAAACGAGTCGAGTGTTTTGTCAAGTCGAGTGGGAAATTTGACTATGTTTGTGTGACCAAGAGCTTCAAGAAAGGAGCAATCTGATGTGTTGAAGTCTCCAGTAATAACGGATAGAGAGTTGTCGAAGTTGGCAGCAGCAAACATGGTGAATTCATCAGCAAAATTAGATAGATCAGATGGAGAGCAACTAGGAGAAATGTACATGTTTGTAATATAGAATTGTTTATATTTGGGGATATGTTTGGGGCGACATTTGACAGTAATACAGTCAATGAAGTCATTTGAGAAGGTGAAGCAGACGTTATTTGAGACAGACCATTTGGAGTGAATAAAAGTTGCAACGCCACCACCATTTTTCTTATTACAACATTGACGGTCTTGACGAAATAAAATAAAGTCCTTTAGTGAGATAAGGTTGTCATCATACAGTTCATGCAACCACGTTTCTTGTAATGCGATTATGGCGGTGTTATGATACGTATCAGTTGACATCAGGGATTGTAGGTACATTATCTTATTTGGCAGAGAGCGACAGTTTGAGTTCATTATGACGGGGACCGTAGTTAAGTGTATTGGTGTACGTTTGAGAGCTCTCTGCCAACCACTACGATGTTTCCTTCTTGGTTTCTTTGGAATATGAAAGTCATTTGGTCGTAAATCATTAATAAAGTTACGAGAGTAAATGATTCTGTTAGAATTCATATTTAAGTGATAAATGTATGCTGGTAAACAGTAAACTGGATGCAAAATGTAGATATTTTGGTAGCAGGCCCAAAAATTCGAACAGGCCGCCTGACCAGAAGCCTTCAGCTAAACAAGTCTACTTAAACTCTAAGGGTCAGCATCCAATGTTCACTGATGATTCCTGTGGTCACGATGTAATTCTTCTCTCAGACATAATCTATTCCTATGGTCAATAATTTTGGGGAATTATTTACCACTACATCCTCTTATAGTCTACCTAAGCTATTTCATTTGGATGACTGGACGAACTACAGTGAAGTTTTGCAGGAGATCAGCAGCCTTTATCTTAGAATCAAGAGGCAAGCATAAAGAAATCAAATTGGTTTGCACTGGCTCGTAAAACCGATACTGCATGGGCGCGCGTATTTTTGAGTTGCAGCTATGCGTATCTCAGGTGTACTGCGGAGGCAGGTGTTATCATATATGGAGTTGGTGGGTTATAAGTGAATAGTAGTAATTGCCTTACACACTTTGAATATAATTGGTGTCTCTCATTATACAAGTTTTTTTTATTTCGTACGTTCCACTGATTACCGAATGAATTTTAACACGTACGTGTTACAACGTACGTACGTTGTAACGCTATAGCGGTAATAATTTTCCTCTTCGGTTAATCTAAATAACTACAATTTAGTGTTTAAAGATTGTAGGTTAAGTTGTTAGTGCAGAAACACATGGTCCGGAAATTCTTTTCAAACAATTTGTTTTTGCTGTTGAGGTCGTTCTAATGAGCTATCCCCAACAGTGTCTTTTGACTGTTTTACGATGCAGCTTCATCAACTGTTTTGCCAAACTTACTTAAAACTCGGCGCCCAGCCTCAATATTACTTGCCTTATTATACCACTTAACATGGGAGATGGAACATATGCGTGTCTGCAGACACCAATGATCAAAGACAACTAGCCTTGTTGTCTTCCACTGTCATTAGTAATGCTTTACAGCCATCAAGGAAAACGCAGCGGTGCACACATCCTTTGATCGGTAACCGAGTACCACGAATATGCCAGAGGTGGTGCAGGTTGACAAGTGTTACACGAGTCTTTTGTATCCGTGCTGAGATTTTTCCTGCTGTTTCAACTTCCCAAACAAGTGAAGCGGTGAGCATACTCTACCGTTTCACTCCCTCCCTTTAAGCTAGGAATCGACGTAGTCCTGTGGCGTCATCATATATTTTACAGGGGCAAATTCCATTCCAAACATTAGGTTGCTGCTCAAGTTGTTCAGAAGAATCTACATTTTGTCAACATCACCTAGAAGAACTATATCATCCGCATATTCTAGGTCAACGAGATTATTCCCTGGTAACAACTTAATCTCTGAGTCACCGAAGTCAGTTGAGAATGCTGAGAACCCTTTTACATGCCTTTATGACGTGCCGCTAGATCCAATGATATAGGCTACAAAAATTTATGGTCACATAACTATTTTTTTTAAAAATATATGAAAACATCACAAACTTCGTGTGTTATGGGCACCAAGAGATCCGCCACACAAAAATAAAAAGTAATTGGGGAAAGTAGGGTTAGGACAAATAAGGGGGTTATCTAGGAAGCATGTAAACACACTTGTCACAATCTTTCATCATTCATTACTTCATGGTACTCTCAGAAAGAGAAGAGAGAGGGAAGTTTCACCATGTTCGCCATTGCTTACTATTTTCGGCCATATCTGTCAACGTATCTAACCACCGACTCGAATTATCTATCGAACACCACCCGGGGAATCGTTATTTACCAAAGGATGCCAGCCTTACACAGACATCATCTCATGGTGCCACTTTATTTTTAGTCTGACCACCTGTCGTCTCTTTCCATCCAGTCCCAAGGCTAGCAAACAGCGAGGGGTATGGGAGCCTCTGGGATGGCATTCGTAACACATGCTCAAGCCACTGAAGCCGGTGTTTCAAGATGACTACACCCAGTAGAAAATGACCTCCACCATGACCAAACACGCTGCTGGACCTTAGAACTACTTGCACGATGGTGTCATCGGCTACAAGAAGTTTTGCAGCGATACGGACGGTCAAATACTCAGTCACCGCACATCATCAGATCAGAAAGGTCAGGTTTCACAGGCGTAGAGCAAGACTGCGCGCACTGAAGCATTGTAAGCTAACCTTTTACAGTCAGACTGGCGGCACCAGAGGTTGTCCAAATAGTCTCATGCCACTCTAGCTTTCACTGTACGGTTAGAAATTTCATCCGCTACGCCCTTAGCACTAAACTGATAGATGTTAGATAGTTACCTGTGAGTATGTTGTCATCCGAAACAAATTGTGCATAACCAACTTTGTACTGCCTTTGCGAGATGATGCTTATCTATTCTCTTGTGCTTACTTTCCATTTCGGTAGTGAAGCCTAGATGAATTGCCTAATATCCTGGAGAATCTCAGACAGTTCTGTTTCCATACTGGTGATGGCTTATGTAAAGCGCCTACCATACGAAAATTAACTTTGCTCCGCTTGTGCTATGTAAAGTTACCATAGAGCTATCAAGAGTGATTTTATCCACACTTTCTATTAACTTAAAGCTGATGCTGTTAGTGTCGTGACTGTCTGAGCTTTGGTTGTTGTTTCTCAGTGATGCAGAATCTTTGGTAAGATTTTGTACTATGTTGTGTACTGTCGTTGCCTTGTGATGTTAAATTTGTACACACTACATTTACACTACAACTCGGTGTTTAAATATGGGGGTGACATACTAGTTTGTAGATTAACTGAGGTACTAGGCAAAGTCTGGGAATCAGAGACAGTGCCATTAGACTGGGGTAAGTCACTTATTATACCGATATTCAAGAAGGGAAACAAGTCCTCGTGTGATAATCATAGGGGGATCAGCCTAACGAACATAGTTTCTAAAATCCTAGGCTCAGTAATCATGCACAGACTAAGCAGAACTCGGGAGGAACAGACGAGGGAAAATCAAGCAGGCTTTAGACCAAGTAGAGGGCGCATAGATCATATCTTCACTCTTCGACACATTCTAGAACATAGACACACTTTTCGGCGTCCAACAATTGCCATATTTCTTGACTTGAAGGCGGCCTTCGACTCCGTAGATCGAAAGGTACTATGGCAATGTCTGACTGTGAAGGGAGTGCCAAGAAAGTACATTGCACTAATCAAGGCACTCTATTCAAACTCACGTAGTCGTGTAAGGGCTTATGGGGAATTGTCATCAGAATTGGTAACAACCAGTGGTGTCCGACAGGGATGTCCACTTTCCCCATTTCTGTTTAACTTCATCATAGATATGCTGATGGAAGTATCCTTAACTGAACGTAACGACTTAGGAATCGACTTGTTACCAGGGAATAGTCTTATGGACTTAGACTATGCAGATGACATAGTCCTGTTAGGGGAGGATGGTGACAAAATGCAGAGTCTTCTGAACACCTTGAGCAGCAATCTTCGTATGTTTGGCATGCGATTCGCCCCTGTAAAATGTGAGATGCTGCTACAGGACTGGACCACGTCAACTCCTAGCTTAATGATAGGGAGTGAAGTGATAGAACATATTGACCACTTCACCTACTTGGGAAGTTGTATTAGCACCAACGGACTGATTGGCGATGAAATCTCAGCAAGGATCCGAAAAGCTCGAGCTGCTTTCGCTGACTTACACCATCTCTGGCGTGGGCGTGACATCCGGTTATCAACCAAGGGACGTGTGTACTGCTCATCAGTTCGCTCCGTCCTTCTCTATGGCTCTGAAACATGGCCAATACGAGTTGAAGACATGAAAAGGTTGACTGCTTTCGATCATAGATGTCTGCGATCTCTGTCTCACGTTAGGTGGTTTAATAAGGTAAGTAATGTTGACGTTAGGCGTAGAGTGTTGGGCAAAGAGGGAAAATCAATCGACGAAGCTATAAAGTTACATAGACTGAGATGGCTAGGTCACGTGCTGCGCATGCCTAACCATCGTCTCCCCCGATGGGCATTGCTAGCTGATATAGGTGCAGGCTGGAAAAGAGTAAGTGGTGGCCAAACAAAAACATGGCCTCATCAATCCATGAAATCCTTGACAGTTAAACTGAGTCAGTCAGGTAGGGAGATGCAGACTCCCGGGTTGGGGCCCTCGGGACTCTAGGAATCAATGGCTGGAGACAATAGGTGACATGGCTCAAAATCGTTGTCAATGGCCAGCGCAGATGTATTCAGTCTCTGTAATCTTTCATATTCCTTTCTACCATTACCCATTCTGTTTCACTCTCATACTTGTCAGACTGTATTGATTCTCTTCACTCATCTTCTTGTCTACCTCTGTGTGCTATTTGGAAGGTGGCGACTGGAACTGCTGCACTTCGGTGCCAAGTTCTATGTTGAATCCAGACAGACAGACACTACAACTCATGTGGTGCAGGAGTCATACTGGCGTATGAAATTCGACCACACTTGTCACATTCCACACCATATTTCACTGTGAAATGGCATTTAGGCTTTCTGCAGTGGCTTTTCTTAACAATTATTTTTGATAGTCAATTATATCTAGATAGTTCTTACGAAACATTAAAGGTTATCGATAAACGAAGTCACCCAGAAACGCAATCAGGGTAAAGTTATGCAAAAATTGTGAAAAAACTTCTTTAAAAGTGCATTTATGTAACTTGAGTTCTGGCCAGAATAAGCTGTTTCAAAAACTTATTAAGATTTATTGTTGACTAATCTGATCAGAGATGACAACGATTGAACCAAGGGTTTGTACTAACCTTTACATCTTCAATCTTTACATTTTTCATTATGTTTTATACTCGGACTATAATTGTGACATAAAATCTTTCTTAAGAACTTTACTGTTTTACATTAGTTTCCTCTTTAATATTAATTCTGTGCTTGTTTGCGATTGACACAATTATAGTTAATCAATTACCGTAATGTATTTTTGTCTGATTAAGTCTATGAAATCTCTTGTCAAAGTATAAGACCCCACGTCATTCTAAAATTTCTCATAGTGTGAGTTTGCATGTTCACATGGTTATCATTAATGTTTTCTCAGTTTAGTCGACTTTAGGTAATTTTAACCCTTCACTTTGATTCATAACATCTTGTCGTTTTTATTTCTTGTTTCCTAATATATTTTATAGCAGCAGTACGTCACTGCGTGTTATTGGGCTGACAAACTTGTTTGCTTAGAAAAATGTATGAACGAATTTAAATTTCGTTAAACAAGCTTGTTCAGATCGTCCGGAAGATGTTTTACTATACGCCAAAGCGTTATACCACAGTCGACAATACCATCGTGCAATTGTTTTAATTCAAAACTGCAAGGATTTAAAAGTAAATTGAGTGTAATAGTTTCACCGTATATTTTTAAAAATTCAGCGATCACTTATTTGTCGTTATTTCATTGCCCAATGTTATTACGCTTGTTCAGAGTATAACAAGGCATTGGAAATACTTGAACAACCTGATAACTCTACTAATATTAGTTCATTGGCTCCGTGTCCATTGTCAAAACTATTCACACAATTACACAGTGAAACTGTTGACAGTGAAACTTCATCAAAACAGCTGAATAATGTTGAATCTAATGAATTAATCAATGAATTTACTTCAGAACATGTATATTACAGTTTATTGTATTGTGTATCTAATCTCTTTAAAATGTTTTCTAGCTTCAAAGTAGCATAGCGTTATTAAAGGGAAAATTGTATGAATTAATGGACAATAGGTCATTAGCAATACAATTTTACAAAGAAGCTTTACTTCTTGATGTAACATGTTATGAGGCTTTTGAAAAATTAGTACACCTTCAGTCCATTAGCTCAGAGGAAGGTGAATTGTAATATTTATAATAATCATCATTATCAATACATTATGAAATAGAGTCTCTGTTATTAAGTGAATTAAACTTTGTTGAACACCTTAATCCACTGATGGGTAAATTAACTGAATTCCTTTATAAGGATAAATTGAATAAGGTAAGTACCTATAATTGTTTTCTTTTTCTTGGTAAAAATGAAGAGTTCAGTTTCAGAAGATAAAATACCTGATGAATTTGCTTCTTTAAACGACAATGTTGATATTATAGTTAACAAAGCTGGACGTATGTTGGATATGTGCAGATTTTACGAGTGTTATAATATTACTTCAAGGTAGGAGATCGAGCTTTTTTAATTTGTGTATGCTTATTTTAAATTTTGTTTTATAGACTAATACGATCAGATCCATATAATCTTGCATGTCTACCAATTCATATATCTGTTTTAAAGGAGTTGGGGAAATCCAATGGTATATTTATAAATTATTTTAGTTTCTAATAGTGATCCACTTAAAGAACTCTTTAAAATATCTCATGAGCTTATGGATGTGTATCCTACTAGCGCAGTAAGTTTCGTATTTGTCTAATTCCATATTTCACTACAGCTTGCATGGTTTTCAGTTGGTTGTTACTATTTAAGCATTAATAAGAATGAACTTGCCAGACGACATCTTGTGTAAGTCCATTCATTCTCACTAGTTTATGAAATAGTTTAAATGTGTTTTTACTAATTATTATCAGTCTGTTGTTAATATTTTAAGTTTGAGTTGATTTCGCATAATTTTTCCCCTAGTGAAGTTGAGTAAGGCTATGAACAGTTAGTTGAGTTCAATAATTTGATATTACTTCTGAATTCATCGGTTCTACATACAATCAAAAACCAACAAAATAATAAAGTACACAGTTTACACCTACTGTAATTAGTTTGATACAAAAATTCCCAGCTTGATGACAAGGTAGCATTGTGAGCCAGAGTAATTTAGTGGACGGTCTAACCAAAGCCTTTAAGAGTTCCTTATATATGATGAGAAACCGAAAGAATGTTCCACGAATAAGGATGAAAGCTGGACAGCATCTACAACCAAGTGTATAGACAAATGAAAGTCAGAAATATCCATATCTTGTAGAATTCCATGTTCTGATGTATATTAGTGATTATCTCACATTCCTACGCCAAAGAAAATCTTCAAAGTAAAGGCCTAAAGGAACAGTTCTTGAAATTTTCCATTATCACTCCTTTTTAACACTTAAGTGCTACGAACATTTTGAAAGTTATTTTACAAAGCCGTTGATTAATGCTTATTTTTCTTGATGTCTTTAGTCAGTTCTCAATCAATAAGCAACAAATATTTTTATTCGTCTATACACTTAGTTGTAGATGCTGTCCAGCTTTCATCCTTATTCGTGGAACATTCTTTCGGTTTCTCATCATATATAAGGAACTCTTAAAGGCTTTGGTTAGACCGTCCACTAAATTACTCTGGCTCACAATGCTACCTTGTCATCAAGCTGGGAATTTTTGTATCAAACTAATTACAGTAGGTGTAAACTGTGTACTTTATTATTTTGTTGGTTTTTGATTGTATGTAGAACCGATGAATTCAGAAGTAATATCAAATTATTGAACTCAACTAACTGTTCATAGCTTTTTCAGATCTAAGGTGATTATTTTAATTTTAGTTATCACAGTTGTTCATTGTACGTCTTATTTAAAATTTTATTCATAGGAAAGCTTCACAACTAGATAGAAGGTATGGTCCTGTATGGCTTACACTTGGACATGCATTTGCTGCAGATGGTGAGCATGATCAGGCTATTTCTTCCTACTGTACAGCTGCTCAAGTTATTCGAGGGTAGGTTCACATTCAAAACTTGTTGCTGTTTTACTGAATACGGTACATATTTACTATATTGTTGAAATATCATCCCAAGTGCCTGAAAATGTGGACTGAAAGATATTATGGCATTTATTATAAGAGTGACTCAAGAATCTTGACATGATATAGCTTAAATTATTGTTGATCAGCCCTTGACTTTTTCGATTGTTTCAGACTAAATTACTTTCTTAGCTGCAAACCTTTGTTGTCGTGGTTAATTTGAGCGTTACACTGATTCTTCTTCGTATTTGTGGTCGAATTATTTATCTACTGTAAATGCTGTATCATACGATGGCTTAATTTTTTATAATCCTCCCTGTAATATATCATGGGTGAAATTACAAGGAGGTAAAGAAATCAAACAGCAGCATATAATTCATTATCTTGTTCTAAGTGTCATAATAACGCATTCCTATATATTTTGTTTGCTATCGATATTTCTTATGAAGATTATCTCACGAAAAACTATCCACAAAAGAGAAGTACTCAGAACACTAATCTGACTCATCAATACGTAAAAATTCATGTGTTTGATCAAGAAAGTAAATCTGACTTATTCCTTTTCTAATAGGAGAAAATCAGGACCACAGTGTGAGAGTCATTTGTTCTTGTAGATTTTATAATATTCACAAGCAAATAATTTTCAATCCTTTAGATTTTAGGTAGAATGCAGTTACACTATAAAATACATTTCCACATCTTGCTGAGCATTACATTTAAAAAAAAACAAGTGTATATTTTCATGTCTCGTCCTTAGAATTCAGGTTAATTCTTCTGGAATTTGATTAATAGTGTCAAAAAGTAAGGAAAATTGTCATATTTAATTTTATTTCAAAGGTCGCTTGGTCTGCTTTTTGAACATCTTCCTCATGCCTTCTCACATGCGTTTTAATTGGGGCTAAACTTTCCTCTGTATGTAATTCATACTGACTCGAATGGTGTTTACTTTTCTCTAACACAAGCATTTTCATACATTAGGTCCCAGTAATAAACTTTGATAATGAAAACAATAAAACAATGTTTCACTTCACAGGCTTTCATCAGCTGCAGACCATATGGAATTACATTGATTATAAAAGAATGTAAATAACCTACTTTGGATGTTGGCATGATATTACAGAAAAAGAAATAAATTAGGGAATCCTGAATGTAGAGTATCAAAAGACTAAACATCAAAATTTATAGTTCAAATAGTCGTCAGCTCACGCCTTTCCAAATAGAAAGTTCAAGAAGTGCGAGATGAAGTGAAGGAAGAGGGGGTTAGACAGAAACAATAATATTTATCGTTGGCTTAAAGGATTGAGTAACAACCTGAGAAATTGTAGTTTTTAAGGTCGAAATTAATTTAGTGCATTGAAATCAGTAAACTAAAGGATTATCCAATTAACTCCATTATCGTATTGAACAGAGGTTGAAAAGAAAAGACTGAAACTATGATACGTTAAAATGACTGAACGATAAATAGTCTGTGAAACTTCATTCAGTAAATAATTGTGATTGTATATGTAATATACCTAACAAATAAATTAGCAGATAAATGAATTTAACTGATAAACACTTAATACGTGTAGAGTGGCAGAGGGCAGCACGGAGTGAAAAAACAACAAACAAAAAGCTCAACAAAGACACCTTTTCTACAATTTCATCATTTCAGTATACGACAAAATGAATTTTCAATACATTCTGATTACTTATACTCTTATAACTGATATCAATTCCTTGGAACCTTATATGAAGGTTATCTTTAATTGCTTGCATCTGTTGTGTGAAAGTTCGTAACGCAATCTACATGTTTAAACCTCAGTATTTAAAGCTTGATATTAGGGCTACCTTCGATTCGTTGGACAGAACTGTGCTCTGGAACTGTCTGTTAGAGAGAGGTGTACCTGAGAAATTTGTTAACATCTTGAAAGCCCTATACAGAAACACCTCAGGTAGAGTGAGGGCATACAACCAACTATCATCACTGATCCCAACCAACAGTGGGGTTAGACAGGGTTGCCCAATCTCTCCATTTCTCTTTAACTTTGCCATCGATGACATTCTGGAGTCAGCTCTGAAGGATGTGCGTGAAGGTGGTGTAGATCTGCTACCTGGAGATAGACTTTTCGACCTCGAGTATGCAGACGATATCGTCTCACTGTGTGATAGCGTGCAGACTGCCCAAATCGCACTTAATCAGTTGGCGATCAGTGTCTGTAAGTATGGTATGTACTTAGCGCCGTCTAATTGCAAAGTACTGTTACAAGATTGGCAGGAGCCTTTACCTGCACTCACTCTTGCGGGTGAACCGCTTGAAGTTGTTGATAAGTTTGTGTATCTGGTTAGTTGTGTGAGTGCTGGCGGAGGGGTGACGGATGAGACTTCTAACTGTATAATGAAGGCTAGGGGGGGCATACATCAACTTGAGCCACCTCTGGCGCCGTCGCGACTTTAGCCTGGTTGTCAAAGGTCGGGTATACAATGCTTCGGTGCGGGCTGCCCTGCTCTACGCCTGTGAAACCTGGCCTCTCCGAGCTGAGGATGTGCGGCGACTCTGCGTGTCCGATCATCGCTGTCTCCGCAGGATTACTTGCGTTCGATGGCATCATCGCGTGAGTAATTCTGAGGTTCGGCGGCGTGTGTTTGAACACAGTGGAGATCATCACTCATTGAATGTCGTCATCTGGAAACACCGGTTCCGGTGGCTTGGACATGTGCTGCGAATGTCATCTCAGAGGCTTCCGTACAGGTCTCTGTTCGCTAGCCCTGGGAAGGGATGGAAAAGGCGAAATGGTGGTCAGTCCATGACGTGGCATCGTGGGATGAAGGATGTTTGTACTAGATTAGCATCGTCTGGTGCGTCACGGCTCCCTGGTTGGGGTCCGCGAGATAGCTCGAATCGATGGCTTGAAACGTTATGGCCAAGAATCGTAATCAATGGCGAACGTGTTACAATTTTTTTCTTCCCTTCCCGATGATAGTTAACGAATACTGTTTGAACTTGGCTGTTTTTCTTCCAGATGAAGTTCTTTATCCGTTCTCTACTTATATTTTTACTTTTTATCTATGTTGCTTTATTATTATTGTGTAGCGCATCCTTCTTGGTGCCATATTGTACCAAGTTTTTTCTACGTTTAAATAAAATAACAGTATTTAAAGCTAGGTTCGCGTCGGTAACCCATTGTTTATTAGAGTTTGTTTACCCATAATGTTAATGCCTCATGCAAATGACTTAAGTAAATCTCTGGAAATCGTAAGTATGCTTATTCATTAATCAAAATATTGGATCACTTAACAGTGTGGTTCTTATTTTCGTGTATTTTTTTATTTTTTAATCAATAGCTCACATATTCCTATAATGTACATTGGTATAGAGTATAGTGCTAGTAATAATCGTAATCTGGCTGAACGATTTCTCAATGAAGCCTATCTGCTTAGTCCAACTGATCCATTTGTTTTACATGAATTAGGCACATTGGCGTTTGAATCACAAAAGTAAGCTGGATTTACATGTAAATTTATTGAATTTTGCTTTGTTTATTGTTCTTTCCAAAAGGCAGATATGTATTGTCTTCTAGTAAATTTAATGGCCAAGAGAACAAATGTAATAGCCCTAAATAGGTTGTGATTTAGTTGGATAAAGTGATGATTCAAGCTGAAATTATTATGGAGACGCATATCAAGTACGTACGTAGACAGACAAGTTACAAGCTAATAGTTCAAATGCTTCTGCCCTCACAGATTTTATTTAAGGTTTAATCGTCAGTATAATATAGGCTTACCAAACTGTGAATATCTCAGTTCATAGTAAGTAGAGCTTATTAACAAGTATTCAACAAAATAGGTGACTGATTGACTGACTGATTCCAACGTAGAACTTTGCACATATGTGCAACAGTTGTCACACTCCATGTAGCACACAAAGCAAGCGAAAAGACTAAAGAAAGACTAAAAAGTGAGGTAATCAACAGAATTGTGAGACAAAAACAATAGTAATAGAATGGAAGAACAATAGGATTTTATTGGATATGATAAATCACGAAAAGACAGCTAGTCTTCTGGTATCTCCTACTTTCAATGGCCAACGTCTCACAGTCATATAGGACGATGGAGCGAACTGCTGAGCAGTAACACGCCTTTCGGTCGATAGCCGGATATCGCGTCTATGCCAGAGATGGTGTAAGTTGGCAAATGCCAAACAAGCTTTGCCTATCCGTACAGAGAATTCGTCAGCTATCAATCCGTTGAGGCTGTTGCAACTCCACCAATAAGTGGAGTGGTTAACACGCTCTATCACTTCATTCCCTATCTCTAAGCTAGGAGTGAGTCGATGTAGTCCAGTCTTGTGGCATAATTTGACATTTTACTCTGCATTCTGTCAATATCTTTACCCAGGAGGACTATATCATCCGTATATTCTAAGTCAACGAGATTACTCCCTGGTAACTACTCAATACCGTAGTCACTGAAGTCAGCTGGAGTTAAGTCCATCAGTACATCTCTGAGATTAAACAGAAATGGGTGGACATCCCTGACGGACACCACTGGTTGTCACCACTTCAGATGACAACTCTCTGTAGGCTCTCACCTTGCTGACTACATGAGTTCAAATAGAGTGCCTTGATTAGTGCGATGTATTTTCTTGTCATTACCTTCACTTCCAAAGATTGCCATAGTACCTCTTGTTCGATGGAATCTAGTGCCGCTTTCAGATCAATAAATATGGCGGTTGATGGGCGCCGGTAAGTAGGCTTATATTTTGATTTGACACTAGTAACTAGTGTGATGCGTCTAACTTGAAACCTAGGTCCAAGGCCTCCTGCCGATTACCTCCAACCATCTTATACCATCAAGTACACTTATATTCCAGAATCTGTCGAAGGGCGAAGACATGATCAATACATCTTCGTGTGTAAAACCTGCCTGGTTCTCTCGTGTTTTTTCCTCCCGATCACCATGATTGTTGAGCCTAGAACTTGAGATACCATATTGGTCAAGCTGATCCCTCCGTGATTATCACAGAAAGATGTCTCCCTTCTTGTGTATGAGGACAATCGATGATTTACACCAACCTGACGGGACTATCTCTGATTCCCAGTTACGCTAGTTACTGTTCGACAAGCGTATGATGAATGAATATTGCGTTTTACTATTTAAACATGTCACATCATATTTTTCATAGATGCATACAAACTTTCACTCATAAACTCAAATAAATTTGCTTTAATCGCAGTATACCATAGTTATTGAAAACAAAATATTTTGATTTGTATGTAAATAAAAATAGTAAAATTGGATGTATGTCTTTTTACTATTCTGGTATATGCTAACTGGCAGAGTGACGTTTGAAGACACATTGCTAAGTCATTCAAATGCGTTAAATTAATTGCATCGAAATACTAGTTTATGCGTAATCCTATGTCTTTTGGATGACTTAGCAGCATGTCTTCTACCGTCAGTCTAATTAGCACATATTCTATATTTTATGGGAGTAGTTGCTAAGTGGCATAGATGTAACATTTTAAGTAAGATTCAACCTATGAAGCACAAAATAATTGAGCAATTATATATATATATATATATATATATATATATATATATATATATATATATATATATATTTAATAATAGAATATTGTAGAATATTAGTCGATAACAATATTGTACCGCTTCGACCAGTATTAGATATTTTAAATTCAGGGAAAAATGGCACCATAGTTAGCGCCCAGGATAGACGACTGGAACGCAGAAAAGAACACTATGAAGAGCAGTTTAATTGGCCCACAGCCACGCTCAACCTGCCGAACATCTAACATCTCCCTAAATGGGACATGGACACAGGTCCTTCGTCCCTAACTGAGGTTACTAAGGCTGTCACTAAACTGAAACAAGGCAAAGCAGCGGGACCTGATGGAATGACTCCAGAGGTATTTAAGTACGGTGGAGACAGTTTACTGTCTGCATTAACTGAGGTTCTAGGCAGCGTCTGGGAATCAGAGGAAGTCCCATCGGGTTGGTGCAAGTCACTGATTATCCCCATATACAAGAAGGGAGACAAGTCTTCCTGTGATAATCACAGAGGGATTGGCTTAACTAATATAGTATCTAAAGTCCTAAGCTCAATAATGTTGCGTGCTTGGTTCATAGAGCAACAGCAATCTGCTCGGATGAATGTTTTGATGAGGGACTTAATAATATTAAACGGTTGCTGAGTGAAAACGGTTATCCAGAAAAGTTTATTAATTAGAATATGGATCTAAAATCAAAGCAGTCCAAGGTACCAACAGTTCCTAAAAAGACCCTATTCTTACAAATACAGTTCCTCGGGGAACAACATCAGCAAGATATTAACACAACACCTTAGAAATACGGTAAAAAGAGCATTCCCTGCTGCTGAATTATTCTGTGTCTTCCAAACTACTCCTCTTTTGCGTTCATAAGTAAAAGATAAACTGCCTAATTTCGCCTGTTCTATGTGTAACTTCCACTTTAACTGCTCCTGTGGAGCCAATTTCATATGTCGTACAATTAGGCGTGTTTCTCGTCGGGTTTCCGAACATCACCCTGCATAGTGGTTAAGTAAAGGAGAAACAAAATGTATTCGTAGCACTATTCTATGTTATCTCGTGGATACAGAACACAAGACAGATGTTAACCAGGCTTTCAAAGTCATTTACCGCATACCAGCAAATCTTAACTTCTCCTTAAGAGTTGGTTAACTAAATATTGTTGAGGCCGTTGGGATCCACATTAAAAAGCTTCATTTGTGCATCCAAAAGAAGTTAGTTCAGACATTATCCTTACCTTGGCCATCTAGGTTTGAATGCTCCTCTTTTAAGCTTGTTAACTGCATTAGATTTTATTTTTATTCTAATAATACTCGTAGTAGGCGTATGCAATTTTGGTTACAGGATTTCATCGTGAGCTGACATTGGTTAGAGAACCATTGGAAAACCTGGTAGTAAAACTTAACTGGCTAGTAAAGAATGAGAATAATTTTTATTTCCAAATTGTAAAACAACTTTTAGGTATGTAGATGCTACAAGATTTTTGGTTCGAGCATATGAAAAAGCCTGTGAATTAAGCGGACAAGTCCCGTCACCATTTTGGGAACCTTTGGTTAATAATCTTGCACATTCATATAGAAAAATGGGGTAAGTCAAGATATGTATTACTTTTCTGTTCTACTGTAGAAGTTAATTTTAGTTTTCCTTTGTCTATATTGGTTTCTATTTTTGCAAATATTCATAAAATTTGTTGTTTTATGTGGATGGTACCTTAAGTCTGTTTCATCTCATGTTCATGTTGATTTTGCTGGAACGTTTAACGATGCGTACTTTTTAATGTTCTGATACACTTCCCAAATGGTTAGAGATTTTCCCTATGCATTTCGTAACATCGCATGCAACCCTACCTAAGCCACATTGGCTATTCTGTAGTTTTGGTATTCTTAATGTCATGCTATTCGACAGTGGGTAGCAGTTTACATCATCCGTATTCACATATTTCTGCAGTCAATTTGGCATCTAACGAATTCGTGCTCCTGTGTATCATTCTCACTTCTAATGATCAGTTTCGATGCTTAATCGACACCTTTACTTTAAATTCAAGCATTCAAGTTCAGTAAATTAATGTACTCTTTCGAGCTTGTTAACTGCATTAGATTTTTTATCCTAAGGCTTTATTCAGTAATACTCCTAGTAGGCGTAGTCAGTTTTGTTTATTTCTTTTCATAAAGTCAAAAGTGAGGGGGGGTATATGAGAAGTCTCAGACAAATTTTACGTGCTCTATCATAAATTACCCAATCTTATAGTATTTGGAAGAACTGTGTGAAATTCGTATGTTTATTAATAATCCGACGGAACTAGTAAAATGGTGTTTTTGTGATTCTTATGGATGAATGTATTGCAAAATTATGTATTTTGTTTATATGTCATGTCACTATAAATAGTTTAATGACGTTAGTATACGCATTTGACTCTCAGTGGTGATTACAGAAATTGAAAGGCTATCCGGTTGATGTAATCGTGGTTTATGGACTTCAACTCACCAGGGTTTTGGCTACGTGGATATCTATAACAACAGACACGCATTACTATGTTCCCGTGTGAACATGTGTGCTGCTATCTGCTTATTAGCAAATACTTATTATTTAATTGAAAATGCAGTTTAGAGGTTTTTTACTAATTTACCAGATGACAGTCTGAAATCGGAAACTACTTGGACGGATAAAATTATCTAAGCAGTGGATCAATATTCGAAACATTAAGACTGTTTGATTAGAAATCTTAGGATACAATGAAAGGTTCACTGTTTCTATATGGAATGTCATTTTAGTTTTTTGAGAAGTTGCAGGAAAGTGGTTAAAGTAGCGAGAAATTGCATGAAAGACAATTTGTTTCGAAAAACAACGGTTTGTTGGAACTAAATTATTCAGACCATTCTACTTCTTACCACATTTCTCATCTTTGGAATTTTGTTGTGTAAGGTCAACTTTTGTTAACTCTGATGTTTTCGCATTCATGTTACCATAAGCACCATCGAAGAAAAAGAATTATCTCGTTCACTTTCATTTTAACAACGAAGCGTATGGAGTAAAGGCTACCACTACCAGTGGTCCTCCTGATTGCAACTGACGGTATTATGAAGCAGTCCATGGGAAGTGGTAAGACAGGAATACGTTGGGTTGACTAAATTCCTGGAGGATCAGAATTTCTCAGATGATTAATCCATCATTTTGCACAAACTCGAAGATTTAGTGGCGAAACCAATAAGGAGATGAACTCAAGATATGACTACAGGTAAACGAAGAAAAGGCAAAGGTTCTGAAGAAACCCTGCCAACAGCAACAAAAAGCAATCATCATTAACTGGCGAAATCTGAACGATATCGGCTCTTTCACTTGCCTCCACTAGGCGTCATCGTTTCACATGTTGTCGCCACCGATGGTGATATCAGAACCAGCTAGGATCGAACCTGGAAATCCAGACAGACGTTCATTGCTCTGCAATTAGTGTGGAGATCTACAAAACTTAGCTGATGCCAAGTTAGTGAGTGCTTCTATATGGTTCACATACTTTGTGTATCATGGAAAGCATTCTCAGTAGGCTTCAAACTTTCACTGACAACTCTTCACCTAGTACTGAAGAGCAGATGGCCAGCTGGGATGTATAAGCAGTTGGCCATTGGCAAATAGCGAATCAGTGAAAAAGCTATTGCCCAGAAAATAGAAGTGGATTGGATATAAATATACTGCGGAGGCCTTCAAGCGACACCAGGGTCCCAGAGCTAGAAGCGACTGGTTGGGTGTCTGAAGGTGACATGGAGGAAACTCTGTGCGAAGAAAATGAAGACTTGTCAGCAGTCTTGACGAGGGGTGAAATTGATGTCAGAGAAGCCGGTGTAATGGAGGTGTGCCTCGGGAGCAAGGAGTGAATGGTAATAATTGCTTTAGCTAATCTTACGGTTGCAACTTGGTGTGATTTTGACTTATTTAAAATAAATAATAGTCTCAATAAAGAGTGAAAGATAAATTGTTTTAATGTCCACTCACTTTTCCTGAGTGCAGCTTCTGATGTTATGAAATTTGGCCTCATGTTCAACTTTAATGGTATCAATATAGCTGTTTAAGTAGTCATGGCGGTCACACTTACTTTCGTACCGTAGTTGAATTGTAACGTAATTCCATTATTTGACGAGATAGTGTACTTTATAAATTCTCGTTATAAGATCATGTATGCTTTCATCATTTAATCAGACTTTACAATCAAGCCATAGCTATGCATGAGTTGGCACTTCGTCTTGTACCTGAGTCTCAGACAACACTTGCAAGTCTAGCTATGGTTCATGCCATCAGCGGTAACCTCGAGGTTGCGGTGGATTATCTCCATCGTTCTGTTGGAGTTCACTCGGGTAACTGTGGTTTAACTTCAAGCAATATAGCATCTACAATGCTGAATGTGTGTATTGAGGCGTTAACGGGAAAAGGACCTTATGCTTCTGGTCAGAAAGTTGGAAGAGGTCAGTGGAAATTTATCTGTTTATTTTATTTCATGAAATGCATGATAGGTTTTGTTGTATATTTTCTCTGTAGCCCTTTTGTTCTAAACGACTGAAAAATTATCTTTCCATTAATTTTGTGGCACATATGCGTGAATTCTTGATCGAAATATCACAAGTACCTACTGTATTCAGCACATAACTAAAAGTAAAACCTTTAGCAGAAATGCACTGGTTTTATGTTGCAATGCTTCGGTCAAGCACACCTAAAAGTGGAAAGAAGAAATGTAATGAAACTAAAATGGAAGATGTGAGAGGAAGAGAATAATTGAGCGAAGACTGGAAGCGTTCTAGAATCTGCAGGACAAAAAGTAGTGAATACATCTGAAGTGCCGTGAACTACTATGATTAATGTCATCGACCAGTGATTCTGGACCATCTACACTGGTTTACGTGAAACAAACAATTGGTGACTTCGTGATTCATTGCTGTTTTTCGGACTACCTCTAACTCTTAATATATGTGTAAAACTTGGGCACTGTGGTAGTAAGTAATTCCATATTAGTTTGTTTATTAGATGTATCACACAGTGAAACAGGATTATTTACTGGATGACTTTTCGAGCAAAATTTACTGTTCATAATCACATCAATTGTAATCACACGACTTTGAAACTCGAGTTCTATAGTTTTCTTTGTCTTCTCGTATTTGTCGTAGGGGTAGTAGAATTTTCCAGATATCTAGGACAGGTGTTGAATCATTTCTATTACATGTATTTGCAGTTGATTCGGTAAACAAAGCTTGTTATCGATCTATCCCTATACCCTGTGATATTAGATTTTAAAACTGTCATCCTATTGTATGGTTGTGTATAACTGCTATAGCTGAACTATTCTCTAGATTTCTTATCTTATTTGGGTCAACCAATCTAGATTTTGCTCGGTTTTTATGTTCGGCTTGTCTGACTGCCCCTGTTCTGCTAGTTTGACTTATGTATTTGACCTGACAATTATTGCAGGGTATTAGATAAACTTCGTTAGAAACGTCATCCAGTAAATGATACTGTTTCACTGTATGTGATACATCTAATAAACAAACTAATATGGAAAATTCAAGTGTTGGTTTGTAGGCATTTGGTTGATTGGTTACAGGATTTCATCATGAGCCGACACTAGTTAGAGAACCATTGAAAAACCCGGTACTGGACAGCTGTTTCGTCCTAGTTTGGGACTTTTCATCAGTACGCACCCACCGGGGTTCGAACCCATGGAAAATATGACAAAACTAATATGGAAACATGAAAGACAAATGATCTCACTAGATGTCGCCTCTCTATTCACAAGTATCCCCCTAACCGAAATAATGTGGAGTTACCTCTGACTCTGTTCGAATATAGTTCTATATGAGCTAGTATTTCCTATCGAGTAGTGCTGTGATTCGGTTCTAGCCACCTTAATCGATGCAGCTTCACAACTTCATCGATTGGCACTTAATGAAGTTTTGAAGGATGAGGTCTTACAGTAATTTATACGTTTCAATTATTTGGTAGAGTATCTAAATACTGAGACCAATACTTTCTTTAGCTCTACAGTTACCATTTAAAGTGGTGCGTAAATACACAACAAATAGACAACTGGTATAATGCTTCATTATCACACTTAGCATTTCATAGTAGCCTTCATCATGGTATACGAAGCTAATAAATAATAAAACTAATTGTTTGCATAGATTAGAAATATAATTTAGATTAGATGGTCCCTATCATGTTAATAGTTTCAGTATGTATCCAGTTATTTTTAATCAAAAGAATAGAACAATTATCAACTGATACTTCATTTTTTTTGTTGCATTGTAACTCGAAAGTGAGATGTTTTAATTGTATCCAGTTCATTGTTATTCTGGAGAAATTCACCAGTGATAACCCCAGAAGAAAATGAACTACATCAATTCTTTCACTTATGATACACCAGTGTGTTACGCCTCGGCTGGATGCTTTCGTATGCCCATTTCGGTCAAATCCTGTTCCATGTGGTATGAGCCTTGTCAATTTGGTTTTAGTCATTTCTTATCAGATTTGTCGAATACCACTTAACGAAGTTGCGCTAAGAGCTGCTTTTCTGATAAGCGGGTGATAAGTAATTTTCTTCTTTCCGCCGTAATGTCAATCTACTACAGCTTGTATTTCCTCCGAAGAGTCCTTGTAAGCGCCTAAACTTCTTTAAAGGTTAGTGCATGGAGAATCTCACGGGTTCGAATTACTTTCAATAAATCTAGTTTCAAAAACTGTTCAACCACATTGTCCAGCTAAAAGAGCAATACAACTAAATCATTTTTCAAATATAAATGTTCTTTATCAGTTATCAAGCTTCGAACCACCATACTTTATACCACAGATATTCATTTCTCCATTATGAGACTGATCTGTAACTGATTTTTGTGCCTATCTGGGTTCGAAGAAATAAATTCCCTTGATAACAGTTTTCTTTAGAGAGGAAAGAACAAGTTCAATAAAGATATCTTTTCGGCGATTTCATCCTCAAAAGCTGTACAATTGCGTTTACATACATAAGTTTACACAGTCACATTTATTATTTATTTCAACAAGGGGAGAACAAAAATGATAATAACTTTAAACTTGATGTGAAAGTTGGAAGGTGTGAATGTAGATCAAAAGAAGCAAAGAAACAAGAGTGCATGGGATTAGAAAGTAGTTGCGTTATGTGTAAAATAGTTTCTGTCAAGATAGGCGTGAACGGTCTGTGCACAGAAACGAATTGAAGTAATTTTTTATGACAAAATGAAAAGACGTGGGGAATGGAAAAAAAACAAGCAAACAAGAACTGAGCTGTCAAACATAACTAGATATATGATAAATGTACAGATTGGACTAGTTTCTTTCGAACATACAACTCCAGCCTTTTAATGCATATGGAGATAGCTCCCGCAGTATAGAAAAGTGGGTAGATTTTCATTCGCTAGCCTTAATACTTGCTAAAAATTAAAAATACTACCAATGAAGTATCTTCTACTATAATCTATTGATTTCCATCACACTCTTCTTATATACCCTCAAATTTTGATGCCCTTATCAGATAACTTTTGCTTCTACAGATGTGGCTTACTGCCTGATATCCGGTTTCACTTACATTAGCCATGGTAGCTAGCAAGTTTGTTAAGTTCTCACACATAATTTTTGCTTCGTAGCACCTGCACTGGGTTCCAGAACGTCACATTCGGTGTGTAATTTGGCATATTAACCATAATTTCGTTACCTTCTTGCTATTTTATCTCAAGATATTCTCAGTCAGGATATATGAATACTGTTTTTGTATCTTGTCTGTATGTATGTAGATATCCCAGATACGCTTCCTGAACAACTCCTTCCACCTGCTGGACCTGGTAGTCTTCCTGGATCTGATCGAATCCGCTTTAAAAAACCACTTAACGAAATTTCTAAATCCACGAAACCAGCACTTCAATTGGATGTTAATTACCAAGCGAAGCCTGTTGATATGACTAATTTATCGCCAAATACAAGTGACGAGGATGCATCTATGGATCTTGGTTAAATACCGCCACCTGTGTGCTGATCAGATGTTTTGTAATTAAATGTGCAACAATTCAAAACTTCATTTTAATAAAAGTGTGTCCTTTTTCCTTGGAGGCTATGGTTAAAACATTTGGTAATGTAGGTGGTAGCTCTGCTCTAGAGTAATTACATAAATATGTAAACTCGAAAAGAGCAGCAACAATTTTAAAACAAAATTTTGATAGCTGTCTGTAATACTAATTTAACAGACTTTAGTTCACTGGGTGAAACAAAGTGGCTGGGATAGACAAAAATACCCAGAGCGGTTATCATTAAATCGTGATGTTTGGTTGGTATAACAAATTGTTACACGGTAGAGTCGAATTTTATTTAGCAAAACATAATTGTAAATATAAGCGGAGGAAAACGTGCAACTATATTTAAAAAACGCTGTGATATTCTTTTCAAGTGTTTGGTCGTAGGAATATAGTGGATGTCAAGTCAGACAACAACAGTTACAGAACTAGGAATCACTGAACAGTTGCTTTGTCCTAGTTTGGGTTAAGTATTCATCGATGGCAGTGTATGGTGGTTGCGTTATAAATCCTAAATTGAAAGAAGTTAGACTGATGGGCCACTGGATTCTGTCTCAGTGGCTGAATGTTTAGCAAGCTTGCATAAAACCTAAAGTTTCTAAGTTCGATCCCCGATGGGATCGTAAGCGGAAAACAAGATTTCAAGGAAGAGAGTAGTTTACTGCAGACTTTTCTGTTACTCCTATGTATGTGGTTAGGTATTTTTACGTCATTTAACACTCATAGTTAAAGGTAATTAGGTAAGAATTCCTGTCAGCTTTTGGCTAGGCTAACGAAATCAAAATTTCCAGTCACTAATTCCCTCAATCCTTTGTCGACTACTGCTACAAACACTCAATTTTTAAGTAAAACTACTGAAAAGATCAAGAGTGGTGTAGCATGAATATTACCACCATTCATAAGTGAGAATCGGATTGATTTCAACAGCAGTTGAATCGGATGCCAGCAAACCGTGTGAAAATACCTGAATATTATGCAATAAAATTACTGGGGGTAGAGTAGTACACATGTTATATATTCCTAATAAAAAAAACACTATAAGTCATCCACACCTAATATTAGACATGCTTCTGCTACCGCTTAGTCTTTTTATCCCACGTGCTCAACTTCACTCACAGAGTTCTGATACACCAGGCAGGATCACTAGATATTACACGGTAGGCATGGCTCATCGCCAATAGCCATAAAAGTGAGTGGTTGTTCACTAAATATGCATGAGAACTTCCTTATATGCTGAACAGTCACCTTCAAGAATATAGAAATCACAATAAATTTATATCCAGTGGTAAATTTGGGAAATTTACAAAGTAGGAGATTACTTCACGAAATTTGGCATATATATATATATATCATCTGTATGTACAAAGCTAAAGTTTCATTAATCATTTAATGTACAAAAGCATTGGTCGATTGGTATATCGCACTGGGAAAATAAGTCAGTGAATTTGAGTCACTGTCGGAAAAAAAAATTATGGTTAATCAACTCCAATGTTTGTGAGAGATTTGATGCTGAAAAATTGGGATTAGCATGAATTGGCCAAGTGGACCCATAACCAGGACGTGGGTGAAAAATGGAGGTTGGATAGGAATTACGAGCACCACCAGAAGGAGAAGGTCCCCTGATATTCATTATATTACAAGGAAATGAAGGAGTATTTTGACAAGGAACCTGGATATTGTGTGTGGTCGGGTAAACAGGCTCCAAATATGACGCATGACTATTTGTAGTTAAATGCTGTGGCATGTTACTTGAAGAATAAACTAGATGGGATTGAGTGGTGATTAGACTATTATCTGATTGATTAGATGACGTAATTCTTTTTCTTTCAGTGGGTGGTTCATTAACACCTAAGAAGTCGGCAATAGCTGACAGTCTTCTTCCACTGTTAAACTGAGATGTGGGTGTCGATCCATGATCTTCATTTCGCATACCACCACGTTTAAAGTATTTTGGAGTTTTTATCCAACTTTGCTTTTGAGCTTCTTTACGTTCAGAGCGTTTTGAAAAGATGCTGTATGCATCGAACATTTTTTCATCATTTCTTGTACAGTTTAGTGCTGGTTGATGCATTTCATTTGGTGGTTCTTGGGTGCTGACAAGTGACTTGAAAGAAAGATTGTTTAGCATATGTCGACTAAGTGAAGGTGTCAGGACCTGTTGATTCTGAGTGCATCCCCTCACATCTTGTGGAGAACGTGAACGACAGTGAACTAATTCATAATCTGTTGGTGCTGAAACATTATTAGCAAGAGGGTTGGGGTACGGCATAGTCATAGCCGCAGATGTACTGCTAATTGACACCGGCATACCTGGAAAATATAACAAAACACTTTGAATTATAGACACGATTTTAGACAATTTGGACATGCTTTGTTACAAATGATTCTTTTGAAAACGTGCACTGTAAAAAATACATAATGACCTTTTACCATTGCAACACCTTTGTCGTCTGTGACGATAAAAACAGTACCATCAAATATTATCGGTGAGTTGGGACTCCATTATACGGAATAAATATCATGCACCTAGCAACAAGAGCTACAGGCGGTATGGGTTTAAATAACGACTTTAAAACTGCTCCCACTGAGAATCAAAAAGGTAATGATGAAGATATTAATATTTGACTTACGATCTTAATTGGATAAAAACTACTTTGAATAGCGTAAAATATACCACAGCCATTTAAAATACTTTTGTTTTGTAGTGAGTGATAAAACTGGTTAACCGAATTGACAGGATTACTTACTTACTTTACTTCGGCTATCTCTTACGGGAGGATGAGCCGGCTTCATGAACTCATGAAGTTTCATGGGAATTTGGTACGAGTGATGTCCCCAGCATCGCTCAGCCTTTTGTTTGAGAGTGCAGCTCTAGCCTTTACACAACCAAGTGTGACCTACAAGGCAGTAGGAGTGGAGTAGGGAGTCCACTATCCATTGGCAGCCGGTGACCGGAGTCCGGTTCATACGCCTTTTTGAATGGGGCCAGACATCCAATAAGCCCTTTGTCCATACGTCTGCCAGTGAGCTTCATACTCCAGTCGTTGGAGGTTTGGAATCAGGGTTTAGCCATCTCCCCTAGACTGTCATCCAATGCACAGTCAACCCGGTGAAGAGCGCCGAGCATCCGCTTTTGCCCTCTCACTTCGGTGAAAAAACACCTCCACCACGTGAAGGCAGTGAGTAGGATTTCCTCAGGAGAGGCTATGTAAGACACCCGGTCATATGGGAGCATTTCAAGAAGTGTGCGGAGGGGTGGCCAACCCACAGCGCAAGGCACCCACCCCCGCCCATCCTGAGGCTTTGGAGGCATTGACGGGATTACCAACGAATTAACAAAGATGAACTACTGTTATCAGATAGTTGGAGGCTTTGGGTTTCGTGCTTGTTGGCGCTCATCAGTACCTAAAACTCTGAAGGAACTAATATCCTCTCTGAAATTCGAACCCGTGTCACCTAGCACTGCAGTCACAGATTTTACCACTGAGCTGTTCGGACTCGCGACTGATTTACTATGGGACTGTATTAGGTACTTTGATTGAACACTAGGTACTAAGTAACTGGTGTCATGCGTTTATTCCTTTGTTTGTTATCGAAATGAGTTCCTTCAAGCTTGCAGATACGCCGTGCTGACAAGTGCCAACAAGCTCCAAGGCTTACCCTCGATTGGTTTCAGCCATGTCTAATTGACTGGTTTCAACATAGAATTTGCACCGATGCGCAGCAGTTCAAGTCACCACACATATCAAGAGACGAAAGTAGAAGAAATTCAAAATAGAGACAGTAAACAGGGATATGAGGAAGAAAGAATAGTAATATCGACAAAAAATAAATCAAAATACAGAAAATAACACGAACTTACAATACATTGCTTGTTTGGGTTCTTCTGATATTTGACTGTGCAAAGACAAGTTGAACTGATGATTTCGTTTAACAATTGTTGGTTGGTTGGAAGTGATATTTTTCTGTGGACTTTTATTACTTTGCTTTAAAGTTAGATTTACTTCATTAGGTAACTGACCAGAAGACTTTAAGGCATCGATAGCTGACAATATAACATTAAATGCACTGCTGGATAGAGCGATTCGATCATTGCTTTCACCGGCGATTTTCTTGCTCTCATTTGAATTATCAGTATTATTTGGTAGTGGATAGTTGTAGTTCATACCCACAGGCGCTACTGGTCCTACTGGTGCTGTTAGAGATGGTAACATTACATTGTTTTCGGACCTGTTTAAAAATAGTGAATGACAAAGTAATTTGGATTAGCAACAAACTGAAATTTCCAAAAACCATATTCCGACCACTATAGCGAAATGCGCAACCATGCGAATTGGACACACAAGTGTCAGTTGATACGAACTACAGGGAATAACATTCCCATCAGTTCAGACTCAAACGGATCTAGGTATCATAATAAATCACAACTTGAAAACTAAAGCACACTGTCGCATGGTGGAAGATCATAGTTACAGATCTCTATCGGCGGATTGCGTTTCGGATTGTGAGGGCGATTGTTACTTCCTGGCTGCCCACACCGTGGAAGTTGGTTGCGTGACCGCAGAGCCCAGGGGACAACTGCTTGAGGCCGGTCACACGCGGCCTGTTTTTTTTGTTTGGTGTGCCTCAGTAGCACACTTATCACTCCTGCCCTGTGACACGGCAGCAGGAAGCGCGGTCGTTGTTAATCCGGGCCACGGCCGATCCGGCATGAAATTTTGTGATTTTGTATTGGACATGATGTTGGATTAGGTAGCTGCTTTTTGTTTAACCGCTATCCAAACAACCTGCCTGGCATGGTAGGACCTCAAGAGACATAAGTCTCAGCCAGTATAGCTTGAATAGATCATTGCGGTGTTCAAGCCCGACCACCACGTCAAGGTAGCAGCTTTCGGTCGGGATCTCTATCGGCAATACTCAAAGAGTTTACTGGAATCACCAGAGATATGTCTAGACTGGAAAACTGCACTAGACAGCTAGTCCTTGTCTGAAGGGGACTCACACATTCTAGAGAGGGTTCGAAGGAAGAAAACACGTATGATTCTCGGCATGACCAATTTATCATACGTTGAAAGATCAGACAGTGTGAATGTCTTCTCCCTGTCATATCGTAGGCAGAGTAGACTTCATTACAATGTTTAAAATAATGACTACGAACCTGATCTATCTCCTCTTTCCCTACCCACCAGATCATAACACTTCAGAAGACACAGCAGGAAAGTTCAAAAGTCAAGGAGGAACCATATCGCTGCGGAGTACTGTCTCTCACACCGAGTCATAAACTTCTGGAACCGGCTCCCAGAAGAAGTGGTTTCAGCGTCCTAAATTGACTGATTCGAAAAGGCTTTGAAGAAGCGCAGAAATTTATTAGAAAAGGATTAACATATGCAGTAAGCCTTTTACCCTCAACCAATATATCTGAATCTGAAAAAATCACAAGCAAAACTACCAGCTGTTTATGTCACTCGCAGGCACACGAAATGACGCCCATCGATAGGCTATGGCAATGGATAGCGGCACATATGAGTTGATTGGTGCAGAAGGCAGTTGTTGCTGCATTTGGTTGTTTCATGGTGTTTTCGACTGAAATGCATTGTGGGTGCCATAATTTGACCGGAAAAAAATGGAGAGAGAAAAGTCGTTTTCAGCATTTCGACCGAATAAGTAGTTGTCATCGAACTGACATGTTCCAAAGTGTACGTCCCCTTCGTTTTCGTGTCCGTCAATATAAGCTAGCCATCAAAAGACATGACATCCACTCCCTCATATCATTACATATAGACAACAACGGAAATCAATTTGACTGCGACAACGTTCAAATATTATACATAAGAAACGTCATGAATGCTAGAGAATTTCTAGAAGCCTGGTATTCCAGTGAATCGTCAATCAATAGACATAACGAGATAGACAAAATTTCCCGACCGATAGCTACAGCTTTGACGTGGTGGTCGGGCTTGCACATCGCAATGACCCAACAACCTACAATGGCTGGAACTTGCAATTGATAGTGTTCTCTGAGCTCCTTGGTTTAATTGCGGAGCTTTCATCGTCTTTCTGGACGACATCTTCAGCGCAGTATTTAGGATAAAGTGAAATGATTTAAATTTCTTCATGAGTCTCCCGGTAACCATCTTTAGATATTTATTGACCGTTTTCTATTGATTGGGATTTTAAACTTTCTGATCACCTGATTTACTTCTTATTAGTTGGTATATTTCATCTATATTAACGTGTTTATTAATTGCGTTTTCATTTGAGTACCAGGCTTCTAGGAATTCTCTGGCACATTTGGTGTTTCCTCTGTTTAAGATTTTGACATTATCCCAATCAAATTGATGTCCATGATCGTCTGAATGTATTGATACTAAAGAATTTATATCATGTCTTTTCACGGCTGATTTGTGTTCCTGGATTCTTATTCGAAGGGGACGCCCACTTTGGCCGATGTAATGTTTGTTACAGTTCACACAATTTATTTTGTAAATGGTGTTAATTTTATCTCCCTTTTCTATCGGATCTTTTGGTTTGCATAAGATGGAATTAAGCGATTCAGCTGGTTTGTGTGCTACATCTATATCAAACGGTTTCATTATTCTAGCCGTTATTTCAGAGATGTTTCTGATATATGGTAGGATGAATTGCTTTTTGGTCTTTGGTGATGGTTCTTTGTTGGTGCTTTCATTCGATTTTAAACACTTTTTGATGAAATTTTTTGGATAACCATTCTTCTTGAACACCGTTTGTAAGTATTTTTCTTCCATTCTTTTCAACTCTGGTGTGCTACAATGTGTTTGAATTCTTCTAAACAATGTCTGCACACAGTTTCTTTTGTGAGTAATTGGATTGTTGCTAGTATAGTTGAGTATTTGATCTGTGTGCGTTGACTTTCTGTATACTTGTGTTTCTAAATTTCCTGTGTTGGTTCTCCTGATTAAGACATCTAAAAATGGGATTTTGTTATCTAACTCTTCTTCTCTTGTGAATTTGATGTCTTCAAATATGTTGTTTATTAATTTATGGGTATATTCTAAATCATTTCTCTTAATTATTACAAATGTATCATCAACGTAACGTACCCAGATTTTCGGTTTAATTATAGGTAGAGCTATTAATTCTAATCTTTGCATAACGGCTTCAGCTATTAATCCTGATATGGGCGATCCCATTGGTGCTCCCTTTATTTGCTCATATATTTGAGTATTAAATTGGAAGTATGTTGTAAGGCATAATTTTATGAGTTCTATCCAAGTTGAACATTGCGTTTTTATGTTTTCATCACTATAGAGTAATCGTTGCATAGTTTCTGTTGCTAGTTTTGGACTAATCGAAGTATATAATGCTGTGACATCAAAGGACACCATTAGGCCAAAGTGGGCGTCCCCTTCGAATAAGAATCCAGGAACACAAATCAGCCGTGAAAAGACATGATATAAATTCTTTAGTATCAATACATTCAGACGATCATGGACATCAATTTGATTGGGATAATGTCAAAATCTTAAACAGAGGAAACACCAAATGTGCCAGAGAATTCCTAGAAGCCTGGTACTCAAATGAAAACGCAATTAATAAACACGTTAATATAGATGAAATATACCAACTAATAAGAAGTAAATCAGGTGATCAGAAAGTTTAAAATCCCAATCAATAGAAAACGGTCAATAAATATCTAAAGATGGTTACCGGGAGACTCATGAAGAAATTTAAATCATTTCACTTTATCCTAAATACTGCGCTGAAGATGTCGTCCAGAAAGACGATGAAAGCTCCGCAATTAAACCAAGGAGCTCAGAGAACACTATCAATTGCAAATCATCCACCTGAGTTACAAATCTTTTCTATTATTTCAATGTCTGGAACTATTGTTCCTGCAGGTCGTACTATGCCAGGAAGGTTGTTAGGATAGCCATTAGACTAAAAGCAGTTACTGGAATTGTGTAAGAATCTCTCTTACACTATTCTTGAGGTCTAAGGGCGAAGTCGTACTGCTGGGAAACAGGGGTGTAACAGCAGTGAGGTGTTTCCCTCAGATGACCAACATGCCAGATATGCTGTCTCCACTCGACCTCAAAAATTGTACATCCTGACTCACCCTACGGTGGTCCATATCCGGCGGTAAGTTTACTAATACGGAACCAATCCCAGAAACCAGTTCATACAGGCCTCGAGCACTTGTTCCCTGGGCTCTGCGGTCACGCAATACTAACCCTCTTTCTATTTCAGGTAGCCGAAGAATCAATCAACTTCCACGGTGTGGGCAGCCGGGAAGTAACAACCGCCCAGACACTTTCAAAAGCACACGTAGCCTCCCCGTGTGTTTTCCTCCTACTGTTAATGCTATTCTGTAGGCTAGTAAATCATCTTCACTTCGCTCTGTGAACACAATGATGGTAGCCATAGTAACACTCCCGATATTCTCTCAAAGCCACGTCGCCAACTTCGTATAAGAGCTTTCGTCGTTAGGACCCTCTGCCAAATCGGACAACAGGTATCACTGGCCAGCACTCTGGAATCTCGAGGCCTGAGTGTGGTCATTCACTTAACCCCACCTAGCCAATAAGGTAAATCTGCAAAATCCACCTAAAAAGCGTCAGGAAACTCTTCATCTAGTTCGCGGGTGTAGGGATAGCATTGAGTGTTAAGACAGGAAAATCACTTCTTGACTAGATCACAGTGGATAGTCGTATTTTTTTTTATTTACAGCTTGATTCCACACTGTATTTTTGGTACAAGTATGGAATTTTCAGCATGGATATCGGTAGCCCAAATTTTGCAGGCCGACCATAGATATCAGGTGCGCGTCGGCAGGGGATCGAACCTAGGACCATGTGCATGGTCGGCGAGAGTCCTAACCACTGTGCCACCGATGCACATATGTGCGGTCCGTTTGAATGGGTGCGTTAGAAGAAGGCTATCTGAGACTGTCTAATTTGCTGCAAAAAGCAAAACGTCCAGATATAGTTGTTTTAGTAGACGACTTCAATGTCCAAGCAGGGAAGTTGTGCCAGACCGAGAAGTATGTAGACGGTTCGTATGGAGTTCCCGACGAACCGACAACGGTGATCGCCTTCCACAGTTCTGTTCAGATAATTTGTTCCTAGTCAACACTAACTTTAAGTGAAATCCTCTATACAAAGAGAGACATTGCGTAACCTGGCGACCTCCATCACCAAATCAACGCTGGACTCAGATAAACCACATAGCCATAGGGTATCGTTGGCGAGGGAAGACTGTCGCTCCTTCTGGAACACGTGCGTAGACTCCGATCGCGCCCTGGTACGTGCACGTTTATGCTTACGATTAAACAGACATAAGTAATTCCTGGCAATGAAACAGTTATGTCCTTAACGAGATCGAGTCGTTAGTGGGTGGAGACAATCGGTGATATGGCTGAGATGAATGTCTACACCAGCGCGTCAAAGAGTAGCAGCTTTAAATAAATTTACTAATGGTATTCTAGTTGAAAACTACTGACTGATATTTTCACTGTTAATCAGTCGGCTGGTTTACAGCTTAGTAACAGACAGTAAGAAACAGAAGAACTGTTGTATGTCATTACTTACCTAGATTTATCATAATAATGATAAAAAGAGGAATGGTGTATGAATACATGCTGGTGAACTGTGAAATTCTCTGGATTTTGTAATTTAGCAGCTTTTATTCTGGCTGCTGCAGATATATCAGCAGCTGTCTGTCGTATATTTTCTTCATGTTTGCATTTTGAAAGTTTCAATTTCTCCAAGACCCAGTCAACTTCCTTCGTGAATTGTTCTGTATAAACGGAGTCCTTTCGCACCTTAAAGTTTGACTTCTTTGCCTTTAGTCGCAACAAACCTTTCTCCTCTAAATCCATGCTGACAAAGTAAACAACATGAAATTATTATGAAGATGAACTGACTCATGATGCATATATATATATATAGCTCAACAAATATATTAAAGAAAATAAAGGTGGATTGGACACACACTGAGAGGATCGTTGAGTGATATCACGCGCCAGGTCCCCGAGCAGAACCCGAATGGGGAGGCTTAGTTGGGCGTTCAAGGGTGACATGATGGGATCGTGTGAAGGGGAAATGAAAGCTTGCTGTAGATCATGCAGCCAGCTAAGAAAGAATGCGGAGAACAGGGTGAAGTGACGAGTTCTTTTCGAAGCCCTATGTTCCACTCGGGACCCAAGGGAGTGATATATATATATATATATATATATATATATATATATATATATCCGCAAACTTCAATCAGTCAGAATATACCTACAGATATTTTCTGAGTATTTATACTACTAGCCTCATACATGAATGGTCCGGGTGAAATTAATGCTTACCAAGTATCAATGGAAACCTTATTTTTTGTTTACATTGACGAATTAATAAAAACCAGAGCATAAAATCCTCGAACAAATCACCTAACGCTGAAAGCCTGTAACTGTTGAATCGTTTTGCTAAAATGTGTAAATGTAAGGCCCACTTGTCAATCTGCTATGAGGTCTACTATATATGAACGACAGGAAATGGTTGAAAGGCGGAATTACTATGCAAATAGTTTTGAGGTGTTTAGTTGCATGTGTGGGTATGGTGAAGACTTTCATTTATTGAAACACCGACTTTGATAGTTTGAACAGCTATTATGCAACTCCCCGAACATACAGTTCATTTTTAAGAAGGCAATTGTAGGCCTGTAACGTGAAGTAATAGACTACACACAAGCATGTTGGTTTGGTATTTGCTTATTAGCCGAGACATTCAGAGCGTCAACTAAAACCCTAGTTATCTAGTGGCACCATATGATGGCGAATCTAACTTGGGGACTGAAACGGCGTCATCCATGCTATAGTGCATTGTATGTATTCACCAAAGAAAAAATAGCTCCCGATTAAAAAATTACGGCTTCGATTATTATGTGTACACTCACGTATTACTGAGCATTTTAGGTTATAAGAGTAATAGAAGCCAAGGATTACAACTTGAGTGAGTAGTGTTCCCAGGTTTCTTCACTGTCTTAAAAATTCCCCACATGTACCAGTCTTTGAGGAATCATCACCAGGAAAAGACCTTAAATAAGTATTTTCTGCCCTCTGTACGCCCCCTAGTCTACCCAAGATTATTAAACCTGAAATTTTGAATACTATGTTAATCAAGCTGGTCGCACTGTGATTATCACAGAGACACTTGTCTTCCTTCTCGTAACCTGTGATAATCATCGATTTACCTCGGCCCATCGGGGCTATCTCAGTTGCCTACGCGTCACTTAATATCGTAGTTACTCCAATCAATAGTTCATTACCATCCTCATACACCTCTGGCTTCACACCACGTGCTACTGTATTACCTTATTTCGACTAGAGGTAGCTATTGCAGCCTGTTACAGTTTGACAACCATCCTTTACATTCCATTCAGGTGGGTATTGGATGCTGTGTAAATTTAGTGTATGTGTTGGTCAGTTGAATTGCTTTAAGTGTTTTTTTCAATGTTCGAGTCGTCTATCCTGGAAAGCGACTTAAGTTCAGTTCTCAGAAATCCCCTTTCTTACCACTGGGTTTTACAATTGGTATCGATCATGAGTCTAGATAGTTGTCCAGTATCACTTACTACTGATGCCCTTTTCGTGAAATTACCTGAGTCATATACAGTTAAATCCAGTTAACCAGTAGATCTGATCCATATATGTAAGTATATAAGTGACGGCTACTGGAAAATCCCTACAAAGTCTCTTAAAATCCCGCTGCCAACTACACATCAGAGCCCTTGACATGTAATCATTTCAGCAGCTGATCTTCATCAAGTTAGGAAGTCCCACCAATCAGAAAAGTATATCGGTGAAACCTACCGAATCCTATGCGAGTTTACAACGGTGGTATTTTGCATTTTCGGTCACAGAATCATCTACGCTTCGCCAACACTACTTTCAAGCATTGCCTAACTTGGATATCTGTCAATAAATCAACGATTGATGTAAGTCAATCACGTCGCGATTAGCTATTGTGGAAAATGTTCATAGAAGACTACCGCGCCTTTTGGAACACCTACGTAGGCTACTACCTCACAATAGTCCATGCACGTATACATCCACGACTGAAAAGATATAGAATATGGGTAGCCACAAAACCTCTGCGCCTTCCGACTTCATGATGACAACACACAGCCTCTATTTAGGCATATAATATAACTAAAAGGGTGTCTGGGTATGACAGAAATACCCGTCTTGAAGAAATTGTGCGTCATATCCAGTCATCGGTGGAAACAGTAGTAGAGGTTGTTAGTAACCTGAGGACATAGGTCAGTATATGCCAATGGATTTCTGCTGCTTCATCCGAACTGACAGACACAAGAAGCTTCTGCTCAAATGCAAGCTCAGTAGACGCTTTTGAAATGACTTAGATGCAGTGTTAGGCAATTGAGTTTCAATTTATAAATGACACTAACTTATACAAAAAATGAGACACACATTGTACATTCGTTTTTAGCAAAGATTCAGACTAACTGGAACTGGAATATGATTTAATAATGATGATTGTCAGTTAATGAGAATAGTTTGGTATCAGAAGGCAATCAGCAAAGTGATGATGCGCCTCCTATTAGTGTTTTTTATTAGAAGTGATAAGACTTCACTTTTCATGGTTAGCTTCGACACAATCGATAAAATGAATTTCAACATACATGTATTTTTCGCAATCATCATCCGTGATAGTTGTTTCATCCGTAGATTCACCATCAGGCCGTTCAACTTTATTTTCGGATGCCATAACATTCATAACGAATTGAGATTTTATGCTGAGTTCCTTTGTATCATTATTCCTCTTTTTACCAATAGACTTCAGGATAACATTATAACGAGTATAGAAACTCGAATTGGAATCTGGAGAGCCTACCATTATAAAAATAAAAAAGAATTGCAAAACTGAGAAAACTACCTTCTTCACTAACTTCTGTTTCTTCATCAGAAGAATCTTCTCTTATCTCGCCTTCTTCGAGATCAGCTGAAACTGAAGTATCATATACGGATTGATCACCTACGGAATGAGGCTAAAAGAAAGTGAAGTAAAAAGTAGCTTTACTGAAAAGACCTATAATTCTTACTGATCTAGAAAGTTTTTTTTCTTTTAAAAGACGTGTCTCACTGTGTTCTTGTATCAAGTGTATAATTTCACTTTGAAGATCGAGATCTGCGAAAACAATTAATACTAATAAAACTTACCAGTTACAGAGTACTGTTTAATAATAAGACGTTTTCTACCTTCAAAATCCTCAATCTTCCGAGCATATACTTCCAGTCTATATGCTTGAAGTGATTTATCACTGTAATCACGATCAGTAATCCTAAACAGAGGTAAATAATATGTATTCTGTAAAATCTCCAGGACATGTTTCTAGCGGACTTACAAGATATGTTTTTCTGTGGACGACACTGCACAAGTGGCCAATCACCGATTTCCGTGGTAACCACTGGTTACAAAGACTACACATGTACAGACATTCGTCTAATTCCTGGACCTGGTACTCGATCATATAGTTGAGACCAATTAACGGTTGTGTACACACATCCAGCAAAGGTTGTATTTTAGCTGAGACTTTAACTGGTGCTTTACGCTTGCCCTTCAACAGAGAACGGTCACCTAAAAGTGTAAGATAAAATTAAAATCAACAAAAAAATTCATTTACTTAGAAAACACTGAGTCAAAATTCGTATTTTGAGCATGTATACATGATCAACAAATTTATGAAGCTGTACAACATATTTGGTCGGAAAATGCAATAATCTATTTTCAGTATTTTATAATGATGATGCTATAAAACTAATCAAAAGTTAGTTACAAGGGTGAAAAAAGGATAAAACTCCATAAGAACGATACAATGAAATATATATATAGTTAAGACTAAAATAAGGTCAGTTATCTGTTTTGAATTGAAGTACTAGGTTTTGACTTCGAATTTGGCTATTTTCAAATCATCGGTGGATAACGGAGTGAAACTTTTGTAACGGACTATTATAGTAAGTTGGTACATCTACCACAACATTTTAAATAGCTAGTTAGATAATGTGGACTCATGTGCATAATATATATATATATATATATATATATATATATATATATATATATATATATTTATAATTTTATCAACTCTTTCTTAACAAAAATCTATCCATTTACTCAAAGAAACAGACATTGAACGAAGTGCTCCTATGAATGACATCTGTCTGTCTGTCTGGATTCAACATAGAACTTGGCACCGAAATGCAGCAGTTCGAGTTGCCACCTTCCAAATAGCACACAGAGGTAGACAAGAAGATGAGTGAAGAGAATTAATAGAGTTTGACAAATATAAGAGTGAAACAGAATGGGTAATGGTAGAAAGGAATATGAAAGATTACAGAGATTGAATACATCTGCACCATTGACAACGATTTTGAGCCATGTCACCTATTGTCTCCAGCCATTGATTCCTAGAGTCCCGAGGGCCCCAACCCGGGAGTCTGCATCTCCCTACCTGACTCAGTTTAACTGTCAAGGATTTCATGGATTGATGAGGCCATGTTTTTGTTTGGCCACCACTGGCTCTTTTCCAACCTGAACCTATATCAGCTAACAATGCCCATCGGGGGAGGCGGTGGTTAGGCATGCGCACCACGTGACCTAGCCATCTTAGTCTATGTAACTTTATAACCTCGTCGATTGATTTTCCCTCTTTGCCCAACACTCTACGCCTAACGTCAACATTACTTATCTTGTGAAACCACCTAACGTGAGACAGAGATCGCAGACATCTATGATCGAAAGCAGTCAACCTTTTCATGTCTTCAACTCGTATTGGCCATGTTTCAGAGCCATAGAGAAGGACGGAGCGAACTGATGAGCAGTACACACGTCCCTTGGTTGATAACCGGATGTCACGCCTACGCCAGAGATGGTGTAAGTCAGCGAAAGCAGCTCGAGCTTTTCGGATCCGTGCTGAGATTTCGTCGCCAATCAGTCCGCTGGTGCTAATACAACTTCCCAAGTAGGTGAAGTGGTCAACATGTTCTATCACTTCACTCCCTATCACTAAGTTAGGGGTTGACGTCGTCCATGTGCACATACGTGAAATCGTCGTTGTTTGTGGCCTAGAGGAACATGCACGTCTTCTTTCTCTCATCTCTTTACAATAAATAGGGCTTATGAAGTTTTGCAGGGTTTGGGTAAGCAATAATCTTTTAACCGTTTAAAGATACACACCAGTGACAATTAATTATTTTTTATGACTTTTTCAGTTAACTAAGCGTGTGACTTGTAAGTATTACTTGGACTGTGTGTACACTTTATGCACATAACTGCACAAGTTTCTGAATGAAATATTTTGTTTGAGCAGTATGAACTTAGGTATGAAAGACTAATAACGGAATAAAAAGAAATCTACTTGCTTAAATCAAGCGTGAATTGTACACTTCTGAATAGTGTAGCACTTAGAATTTATGCACATGAGTCCACATTATCTAACTAGCTATTTAAAATGTTGTGGTAGATGTACCAACTTACTATAATAGTCTGTTACAAAAGTTTCACTCCGTTATCCACCGATGATTTGAAAATAGCCAAATTCGAAGTCAAAACCTAGTACTTCAATTCAAAACAGATAACTGATCTTATTTTAGTGTAACATTAACAGTGCACATAAAAACCTTTACACAGGGTAACAAAGCATAACGAACACGCTTTCCATAAATAATTTCATTAGACATACCAGTCGATTCGTAAATAGAAACATTCTCTAGATGTCGACGTCCATTAAGATGTGAACCAAGTGACTTATGGGACGGGAATTCGACTTCGCACAACTGAAAAGAAAATATTTAAAAAAGAAGCAAATCATTAGCTAGAAATAAATACTATATTTGATGAGCCTACCACACATAGATCTGAATTCAGAGGTAAAATAACAAGTTGGGAATTTCACGCAAAGATATCTATGTACTAATCAGTAATCACGTTCATAGAGCCATTATGAAATTCCTTAATTTTAGTTAGCATTACTATATGTCAATACAAACAACCATTACTGCAATTGCTCTCTCTCTCTCTCTCTCTCTCTCTCTTATATATATATATATATATATATATATATATATATATATATATATATATATATATATATATATATATATATATATATATATATATATTAGTTGAGTCGAATACAATACACAATGACCACACTAAGCTTAAACACATAAAACGAGGTACACTTATTAGAACGAATATCGTAACATGCCAGGAAGGTCATTTGGATAACAATGAAACCGAAGGCAGTTACCATTATAGGATGAGACTCAAACCATTTTTTAGGTATGAAGACGAACAGCAATGTAACAGTAGTTGTAACAGCAGAGCAGTGTAGTATTTGGTAGTAGAAATTTTAATCTGTCGAATGATGTGCAATGATGGAGAAGTAGAGGAAACTTACATTGGAATTTATATTTGCACAGGTTATTTAAATTCTGCTTCTTCTGTCTTCCTCTCATGGTTTCTACATTGTTTCACAAAGATATTTCATTCCTCCTCTTCGTAACTTGATTGTCGCTCCGCCACTCGTTGCAGAAGACTTCATAAACAATACGTGGTGGTGTTATATAGACAATTTATTCCAACAGAATGTTATTCTCACTTAGTCCCACAACTTAATACTGCATTAGCAACAGAATACTACGTATATTTGAACATTCTACTTCATTTCGTTTAATATTAACCAAAATCACACGCTCAGTAATCGGTTAATGAATATAAACTATATATAGCGGTTTGATTAGTGGAAAGTATACCTTTACTCCCATGTCTTGCCTAATAGTTGTTACAAATATACCGCTTATAAATTAATGTTGGTTGCACATGCCACGTAGTAAGGGGTTTCCCTCAGAACGCCGATTATGCTGCCTCTCCCCTCTGAAGAGGGGGATTGATAAACGGTGACTGCGAAAACTGTACACCCTAACTTAACTCGCAGCATTTCGCAGCAGGTGGTAAGATCTGGTTACGAACGCAAATCTACAAACCACTCGAAATAGACGTACGAGCTCAGGATGTTGTCTAGATAGCCAATGACAACCAAATCATCCAGTTCAGAGAGCACGACTAGATCAAGATCATCCACCTGAGTTACAAACCACGTGCAACCAGTCCTAAGTAAAAGTCTCCAGGATTCTTCAGTCACGCGACACTACTTCTCCACCTATTTCAGATACTCCAGGAAGATAGAAACATCCACATTGTGGACAATCGTGGGATAACAACCGCCAAAATACTTAAAATATTACTCCAAGCTTTTTAACCATAACTATCACCATCACCACTACCTTTTATCCTACTCCTGTTTAATACTACTCTACTCGAAAGTTCTCTAACTATTAGCTTTACAACTATTAAACAGTGACCCGATGTGGAGAATCACTAAAAAGTCTCTTAAAATACCGTTGCCTTCGACATGTAATCATTTTAGCACCAATAAGAGAAGTATATCGGTGAAACCTATCGAATCCTATGCGAGTTTACAACGGTGGTATTTTGCATTTTCGGTCACAGAATCATCTACGCTTCGCCAACACTACTTTCAAGCATTGCCTAACTTGGATATCTGTCAATAAATCAACGATTGATGTAAGTCAATCACGTCGCGATTAGCTATTGTGGAAAATGTTCATAGAAGACTACCGCGCCTTTTGGAACACCTACGTAGGCTACTACCTCACAATAGTCCATGCACGTATACATCCACGACTGAAAAGATATAGAATATGGGTAGCCACAAAACCTCTGCGCCTTCCGACTTCATGATGACAACACACAGCCTCTATTTAGGCATATAATATAACTAAAAGGGTGTCTGGGTATGACAGAAATACCCGTCTTGAAGAAATTGTGCGTCATATCCAGTCATCGGTGGAAACAGTAGTAGAGGTTGTTAGTAACCTGAGGACATAGGTCAGCATATGCCAATGGATTTCTGCTGTCTGTCTGTTTTCGACATAGAACTTTGCACATATGTGCGGAAGTTCAAGTCGCCACACTCCGTGTAGCACGCGAAGCAAGAGAAGAAAGTCTGTCTGTCTGGATTCAACATAGAACTTGGCACCGAAGTGCAGCAGTTCCAGTTGCCACCTTCCAAATAGCACACAGAGGTAGACAAGAAGATGAGTGAAGAGAATCAATACAGTCTGACAAGTATGAGAGTGAAACAGAATGGGTAATGGTAGAAAGGAATATGAAAGATTACAGAGACTGAATACATCTGCGTTGGCCATTGACAACGATCCCTTTGAGCCATGTCACCTATTGTCTCCCTCTTTTCCCAACACTACGCCCAACGTCAACATTGCTTACCTTATTAAACCACCTAACGTAATGGATTTCTGCTGCTTCATCCGAACTGACAGACATAAGAAGCTTCTGCTCAAATGCAAGCTCAGTAGACGCCTTCGAAAACACACAGAACGGTGATGAGCATTAACAGCGAAATGAGAAGGGGCATCCGGCCAAGTGATACTGGACAACTATCTAGACTCATGATCGATACCAATTGTAAAACCCAGTGGTAAGAAAGGGGATTTCTGAGAACTGCACTTAAGTCGCTTTCCAGGATAGACGACTCGAACATTGAAAAAAACACTTAAAGCAATTCAACTGACCAACACATACACTAAATTTACACAGCATCCAATACCCACCTGAATGGAATGTAAAGGATGGTTGTCAAACTGTAACAGGCTGCAATAGCTACCTCTAGTCTGAAATAAGGTAATATAGTAGCACGTGGTGTGAAGCCAGAGGTGTATGAGGATGGTAATGAACTATTGATTGGAGTAACTACGATACTAAGTGACGCGTAGGCAACTGAGATAGCCCCGATGGGCCGAGGTAAATCGATGATTATCACAGGTTACGAGTAGGAAGACAAGTGTCTCTGTGATAATCACAGTGCGACCAGCTTGATTAACATAGTAATCAAAATTTCAGGTTTAATAATCTTGTGTAGACTAAGGGGCGTTTATCCAATAAAGAAAGTCTTTTTGTATCAGGTTACTTATTATATCAAAGAACTTAAGGGGCCAGCTTTAGCAGAAGGCGGCTAGGTATAATCAGAATGTACGATATATGGTTCAAGCAGCAGCGTGGGTTTAAGCTCTTAGAGAAAAATAAAAAATGCCTGAAAATATATCACAATTATATAACATATTAGTATCAGTGCGATATTACATACATGCTAACTTTTGCAACTGGTATCTCAAGGTATTGATACATATGATCTTTACGAATTACTTAACTTACCTCACAAAAGAAGGAACCAGAAAACCCCACAACAGAATGACCATTATTAAGATACTGAGATTTCAACCATTTATGGTGTTTTGTCTCCCAGTTTTCCTAAAAATGAGGAAAAATTTATAACCACCTCTTGAATGATGGGAAAAAATACCACCTAGTAAGTGCGACATTCTTACCTCTGGGACAGCAAAATCAGCTTCATACATTTCACTGGATTGAAGAATTCTTCGTGTATGCATAATACCACGTAAGTGCAGTGTAAATGCACGTTCAGTACCAAAGTTTTGGTCACAAGTTGAACAGTAAGTCCAGTCGTTTTCATTATCTTCATTAGCATCTTGCTCAGAACTAATAAGAGATGAGGTATTTCTAACTTGGTAGTGGTTAACGGATGCAGAACTCGGATCAGAGGAGTCTGAAGTGAAATTTAAACAAGGTTAGAAAATGAATGATAACTTATGTACACATCTATTTGTGGTAACTTGGGCTATACTTGTGAGGTGTTAAGACTTAGAAGTAAGATATTTAACACCTTGCATAATGTCATATATCCAAGAGTTTAGAAATAACCGAAATATTTCATTCTTTTCTAAACAAACTATACCTTGCTAACTAAAATACTGCACTATCAACTGCGTGAGCAGAAAATCAAACAGGTGTTTTCACACAATCGTAGGTAATATTTTTAATTCATAGAAAACTGAATGAAAACCGTACTTCGCTGAAAATCATTATGCTAACAGAAACATCCAAATGAACACTAGCAAGACATTTGAGCTTGTAAACGTGGTAAAAACGAGGTTCGACTATGAATTCTTTATTCAAAGTATCATTACAATTATGAAGAAAGTCGGTGATGGCAGGGAATATTAGACCTTTGGTTACAACAGGAATGAGATCAAGTTGCAATGTCTTGAAACAGTTGATATATGCACATAGAAATTTAAGTGTTAACTCTCTGGCGAAATGACAGAAAACTGTACAAATTTAATTGAGACGAATAGCTAGGCTTGGTCGATTACATGAATCACATCAAGTTAGAATTGGTTTAACTTAAAGTTAAGTTGTCACTAAAAGCGATAAATCGCATAAGAACAGACGTGCTTAAACTTAATTCAAAAACCTTTAACTTACTAGGTTAAAGAAAATCTTATTTGTAGTATTGAATATATATATATGAAATAAACTAACTCACAGTGAAGCGCGAATGGTGGTTTTTGACACCTGGAATCTCCAGAAACCGAATATGCCCATTTTTCATACATGTCATTCCAGTCTATTCCCAGTCCTCGGCTTAAATTCACAAAAATCTCATACCATTGAGGATTCGTGCGTGCGATCCAACTGAGATAGTTGTTCCAAGACGCCCAGTCCCACTCTCCGGCTTCAACATAACGGTCAAAATATTCCTTCATAACAGCGTCGGGGTCAGAACAAGGGTCCAGCACAGTGGAGTTGTCACTCACAGCCATTTCGGTTTCCTTCGAAAGTTGGGATGTATAGTTTTCGAACCCAACATGTGCTAGGGACTTAACCTACAACTCTAGTAAAAATAAGTGCAACGTACTTCTTCTTTTCTATCCAGGTTTTCGTCATCTGAACTCTCACCGCAATTAGAATCACTCTGTTGTACAGAAGCCAAGAGATTATTAAAGTAGTTTATCATATTTTGATAGTAACGCGTGTAGTCAGCGGCAGCGGACGCAGTGAACACAGGATTTGAATTGTCAGCACCAGTATTTGTTAGATCCTGAATTTGGTCTGGAAGAGCTTGATGGAAGACTACTTCAGATGCTGCTAAAAAATATTAGATAACATCATACTATCAAACCTTGCTGACAGCAGTCATATCCAGACACAGTCATACTTCGCAATCTCTGTGCATATTTTAGGTATCTATGGTACTCTTCATTAAGTTTGTTGCACTGAATCGTATATTCTTCTGACTGTTCTCCACCATTTGCATACCATTCGCGTAATTTTGTGGAATAATGAGAGAAGTAATCAAACATTTGCTCTTCGTAATTCTTTATCTCTGCTAACTTTTCAGCAGTTAGACCATCTGTCATATTAATTAATATTTTTCAAGTGATCTGAGATTGAAAAGTTATAGTTGGATGTATATAAACATTGAAACCGTAATTTAGCCCTGATACGCACAAGCATTATGGGAAAACGGGGGCGAACAATCACGGGACATTTTTAAACTCCCCGCATAAATCGGGTTTCTTTCAATGAATAAATGCTTTCACACGAATAAGTAGAATAGGCTTTAGTCTATGATAACCCTCTTGGATAACAGCTGTGAGCCTGTTGTCTGAGCAGTAGTTAAATGCTAGTTATGGATGAAATTCCGCACATAACTCGTTTACAGCACCCATAATTTGGGCAGCCTGTAGACGGCCGTAATTTTGCGTGACCGCGAATGAGATAAACAAGCGATTCGCTCGCTCGTGATTGGCCAGTTTGTCACTCGAGTTGAGGTAATTTCAAACATCATTTTGCTGCTTGGTTAAGTTCTGAATTTCCGTGAACGTTTTCTCAAATTGGAGAGATAATTGACAACACAAATTATTACAGCTCAGGAAGGAAATGATATAGCAGTAGATTTATTTGCTGAATTCAACGAATTCATGCCAAATTACGATCTAAGGACTTCTCAGGAGTGTCAAGAATGCAAACAATGTCCTGAAGAGGTAATAACTTCACGCAACTTCAATTATCGCTTGACCAATATTTTCAGAGATCCTTAAATAGGTATAATATACGCAGATGTCTGATTTCCCATAAACTGGAAGATATGCAAGTGAAAAGTAACAAGTTGGCAGAAGAAGCATCAAAGATAGGACTTCACGTGAACATAGATAAAACAGAGATAATGAAGATTCCTAGCCAACATCAACAGCAACAACAACAACAGACAACAATCAGCATAAGTGGGAAGAACCTGAAAGAAACAACCTCCTTCACCTACCTGGGAAGCATCGTCTCAACTACAGGCGGAACTGACGAGGACATCAAAGCCAGAATCGGAAAAGCAAGACAAGCTTTCATTACTCTCAAATTTGTGTGGAGGTCAACAGCAATCAGCATCAAAAATAAGATCCGGATTTTCAACTCCAATGTGAAGTCAGTGCTACTATACGGATCAGAGACTTGGCGAGTCATAAAGAGCATCTCAAACAAACTTCAAACCTTCATTAACAACTGTCTCCGCTCAATACTCAAGATCAGATGGCCAGAAAAGATCAGCAACAGGGATCTCTGGGAGCGAACCAATCAGGAACCGATTGTGAAACAAATAGGCAGAAAGAAATGGAGATGGATTGGCCATACGCTGAGGAAACCATCAAGTGACATCACTAGAGAAGCCACTGCTCGAGTGGAACCCGAAAGGGAGGCGGCGAGTTGGTCGTCAGTGCAAGGGTGACTTGGAGGAGGTCATGCGAGGAGGAGATGAAAGCATGTGGACAGACCTGGAGCAGGGTGAAAAAGTTGTCAGAAAACCGAACTAAAGGATACAATAATAATAATAATACGCAGAGGTGATTAAGTGATTAAGATTAAGTGGTACATTTATTTGATATGATTGTATTATTGTTAGTTGTCTATCTAAGTTAATAATGAATTCGTTGCGATAATAATACCTATTATTGTTTATATAGTCACTATGATCATGAATGTTATTATTATTGCTGTCAAGACCTATTATTTGTCATAAAGTTGTTGTCATATTTGCTAAATTATTTGTACAAGCTTTGAAAACTCCTGCATAACTTGTCGTTAAATAATTTTATCATTTCATGATGCTTCGATGGACCTACTAGATATCGGCCAACAATAAGTTGCGAAGTCCCTTAAGTTAAGTGAAAACTATTGGGCTACTTATATATATATATATATTGTTTGTAAAGTGATTACTTGTAAATGCTTATCAGGAAAATTTTTTTATTCAAATCGTACATGTAATACCCAAGTTAATTATGCTTTTCTTAAACCTTTTCAGACTTATGGAAAAACATATATGTGCCGTGTACGCCTATGGAACTTACTGACGGTAACAGAGGACTACTCATCTGAATTATCTGTACATTTGAAATCTGATTTTTGTTTAATAAACAATTTTTCAATGAATCTGTCTTCCTTCTGTTGTAATGCGATTGTGTTCCAGTAAAATAAGTAGCACGTGCTAATTTAGAAGTTGAGGGTGAACTGTTAGGAGTAAATGCGGCGTCTGGAAAACTTTTGTTTACGTGATTATATGAGCAGATAGCAACGTATCGTGTTCTTTGGCTGAGAACCCTAGGCATTCTTTTTTAATTATTACGATGACCGTAGTTGCACTGAGTCATACATCTAACAGCACAGGTATAGTCTCTCCTTATGGTATACTGCGGCATGCAGAAATCATAAGCAAACTATCTCAGGTAGATTTACTCTCACTTTGTGACTATGAATCGCGAATCAGTATATGTGTTCTGCTAAGACGATAGATAACTCGAAACGCTTTATAATCGCAATACCTCCTCTACGATTTAGACATATTTACTTTATTTTCCTACAACATGATGTTTTACCAATAGGCTTCTCTGAATATCTGCTCCTACTTAGTATTTCAAAGATAGCCTCATATACTCTATACCTCACAAATTACGCAAGGGCTAATATTCGGTCTTATCAAGTAGAATAAACAAACGAATAACGAGGAATACATTTATTAATGAATTAACATGTAATACAAAATCGACAACAGTGCAGGTATCTTTTTCTTTATCACCCAAACCCATGAAATTCCCGAAAGTAGATATTATCTGAAAAAGAACAAAAGAATTATACAGATGTAGAAATTGTTATCAGTGTAAACACAATAATTAACCATGAAATATGTTTGAAACGACGAAATAATTGAATTGTATATAATTACGTCAGTAAATATTTTTCAATAATAGAAAATCGATATTGCACCTGCCTGCAAACGTCAAGTTTATGTCATAAAATAAGGAAATACTATGCGCATATAATTTCTAAGTATTTCTGCAGAATTTTCCTTAAAGAAATACATGTGGGGGAGCCTTGTCAGCATTAGGAAAAGTACACAACAAAGTAAATGAAATAATTACCAAAACGAGCTATCCCACCTCATCATGTCCCTGTGTAACCCATTAAAATGCAAAAAAATTCACGAAATGGTCGTTATAACATGTGTCTTCAAGTAATTCGACATATTCTGAACGGAAAAGTATGTTTTTTCAACAAACTGCAAACTGCCTGTAAGCTACGGCCGGATAAGGACACCACCATTGCCTATTTCTGCTAAATACGCCGTATTGCATCAACTTTTAGCTGAAATATATGTAAAAAAGTGTGTATAACAACGAAAAATGACCTAACCTTGAGGTATTTTCCAAAAATAACGCCAATATCCATCAGCTGATCAAATGACCTACGGCCGTCTACAGGCTGCCCATAATTTGCTTTATCTACCACAGACTCATCTAATTGGTTGATCAGGACCATTAATCCTTTCATTGGGCAGTTTCTTTTTGGGCTGCTATGGTTTAGAGTTACTGCCAAATCCTGCCGTGATTGGATCCACAGAAGGTGAGCCGGTAGACAGTTCTCCTAATTCCCTATCCCTATGTTGGACACAAACTTCGACACGAAGGGGATCCGACCATGATTTTCGAATTTTAGGGCCATCCTCTAGCAAATGGTTGGATCATGAAGGAAGAATTGGACAGGATACATTGGCAGGCTTTACACACAACTTATAAATCTGTTTAGACTATTCATGGGTAGCCAGGCAGCTTGGTGTAAGCTATCCCTCATTAACGGTGACCACCAGATCCGTTGAAGGTGCTCAGAATGTACTGGTACTCTCCAAAGTGCAGGCTTTGCAATAGCCTACAGTATACGATTAAGGCCCAATAGCCGCCGGAACTAATGTTCTTTACCTCGTGTTCATAGAGAGAGAGAGAGCTGGAAACAAGCGGGCCTTGTGAGAAAACACATATAACGTATGGCAATGCTGGTGGTTGTCCTCTCAGGTGGGCCTTAATGATTCTTAAGCGATTTCTAACTCTAGACTGCCTCAACCCACTCACTTCACATTGGCGAAGTTACCACTAGCTGTCAAACTCCCTGTACTCCGACAGGTTAGCAAACTTATTCACTGTTGTGAAAGCCTACTGTTCAGGGGAAGGGCTGCCTTTTGAAACTACCAAAGAGGACAGACTTGAGCCTCTGAAACAACTAGCGTGGAATCATCCTCTTGTCCATGTTAAGCAAAATACTAAGTTGCATCATCATGTGGGGAATAAAAGATTCACTGGACACAAAACACCGACGGGAACAAGCTGGATTTAGGAGGAGCAAATCATGTACAGATCAAATTGCAACTCTACTCATCGTCATCGAACACAGCATAGAATGGCAGTCAAGCATCTATGATAAATTCATGCACACTGATAAGGACTGCGACAGCGTTGATAGCGAAGTAATTTGGAAACCGCTCAAATATTATGGGATGCCCTAAATCTTTGTCGGAATTATTCAACATATGTAGGGCAATGACACGTCTGAGGTGATCCACAACGGAAAACTCAGCGAGGTTTCCAAGGTGAACACAGGAGTAAGACATGGCTGCTTAACACCGCTGGTGATATCCCTGATCGCTGTGGACTGGATTATGCGTAAGACTGAGCGTGGGAACGAGAAGACAAGCTTACGCTGGACCGATAAGAGGTCTCTAGACAAATTGTATTCCGCAGACGGTTTATGTCTAATGTCCTAGGAACTCGAAGGGTTACAGGCAAAAACCAGCAAACTGGCTGAAGAAGAAAAAGAAAAAGCGGGGACAGGGCTTTGAGTGGGGTTGATGAAGGCAACCAAGGAACAATAACAACCAATACTGATATATATCAAAGGAATAGATTTGAAAGAGATCGCTGCTTTCATTTGTCTAGTTTTCACAGTCTAAACTGCCAGTGGAACGCAGGACTTCGGAACCAGAAACGGAAAGGCGAAGCTAACCTTCACCGCTCCGGAATCACCCTGGACATTTTACCCGCTCATAATCAGGAGCAAATTCGGGTTTTACAACGCCAGTGTTAGGTCACTTCTTTTACATGTGTTAGAAACTTGGCGCATCACGAAAGGCATTTCTTTGTGGCAGACGGCTTCTCTCCATGTTGAAGTTCAAATGATCAGAAAGAACCAGCACTGTGAAACTCTTGGAATGCACCAATCAAGAACCTGCTGATCAAAAACATACCTGAGAGATTGGTGATGGATGGATTGTCACCAGATTAGGTGGGCCAGGCTAAATGGTTAGCAGTTAGTGTGACTAGGACTCAAGGCTAGCAGAACTGGTAACCACACGACTATCTCGGGGATTATTTTCACTTGAAGCCAACTGGAAGCGGTTTGGAATGTACACA